ACAGTCATACTGTCTTTATACTGTCAGAGATATGAGGCATAAAATCTTTAAGAAACCCAAAAAGTCACACTCCGTTCAAGTCATATTTAATTTTAAACACATTTTATTTTTATTCAAACATTCAGTGTAGCTCAACACATCCCATAGCTATCCCAAACAACTGAAAGCACAGACCAAAGCATCTCTGCGCGCAGCGTTAGCAGTCTGGACTTTGCGTGAACTGTGAACCAAAGTGTAGGGGATAAACCGAACGCTCGAAGCACAAGACGGCACCAAACACGCATAGCTTATAAAAGAAGAGAGTTGCTTGTTTCTGCAAACCCAAAGCATCAGATAACTCCACGAAGCTAGCCTTGCTGAAGGATGTAACAGATATTATTTGTGAGAGCGAATGAGTTGCGTGAAGAGGGGATGAATGTGCGGCTCGAATGTGTGCTTGAGAGAGATAGAGGCTTTCTATTCATGATCTTTTGCTGTACGAACTACTTGAATCTCCAGAGCTTTAATACAACACCCGCAAGCAAAATTAAAGCAGAGAAAGAGCATGCACTCCGCTCGCTCCCTTCTTTCTTCCTCCGCGCTTTGCATGTCTGCTTAGCTCGTCACATTTATTTCATATACGAGCCAGCCGTATATGATCTAATTTGTGGCTCATTGTGTCTCCAACCAAAGTTGAACCAAATAAAAAGGGAAAAAATGCTAATGCATCTGTATATATCTCCACTGTCCTTGGCACAGTGTGTGTAGGGGGTGCTGGTTCTCTGAGCAGATTTGTTGTGGTGGTGGTGCTGGGGGGGCTGGGGGGTGGGGAGATTCTTGGCCTTGTTAGCCTGTTAGCTAGCTGTGCTAAAGCTGTTGCTAATCGTGGGACCCTTGGAGAGAAATTTACATCCACATCAGTGCAGAAGCTACACTAACCCACTTAAACAAAATGGGCTTCAAGGTTCTTGAGTAAAGGCAATGGTTGTATCTAGAACTATGCATTCTAAATAGAACCATTTCACGCGTAAATGGTTCTTTGTGTGGTGAAATAGTTCTTAAGACTGATGGAGAATGTGCTGTATCTGTATGTGCCTATATAGCACCAAAAAAGGTTCTTTTGTTAACCATTTCACCACACAAAGAACCAGTTAAGCACGCTGATGTTTTTTAGAGAACTCATGGTTCTAAATAGAACCACTGGCTTTACTAAAGAACCCTTGAAGAACCATCTTTTTAAAGTGTGCATATGAAAGCAACCCAAACGATGGTACATTTAGCGAAAAGAAAAAGCTCACCCAGTAATGCTAGTGGGGGCTAGTTAGCAGTTAGCATGATGTCATTTTGTTAATGCTAAGTCATAACTGGTGCGCTGTTAGCATTATCGTTTTTGGGTGAACTACTCTTTTAAGCATCCGATATATATTTATCCTGAGATAAACAGCAAACTTTTTCTTTATTTCTAGCATCCATGAGGGGTATAGCTGTGATGTTTGGCCAGCCAAGCTGCATGCAGGCCTTTCCAAAGCCTTTCTATCTCCATTTAGGGACCCTTCACCAGTGGACACGGCTCATCCTATTGTACTTCAAACCTCACACTAATAAGACGCTATCGTTAGCAAAGCTGGAGTGGACGCTTGATCTCCCGAACGCTCGGCATTTTTTTGTAAATTTAACCTAAAAGACGAAGGCTTGGTTTGACATGTTTAGGGAAACATTATTTACTGTACTGTGCAATACATTGTTACAGAAAAGACATGGTTTCTGTAGGAAAAGGTTGGTGTGATGAAGAAAATGTTTTTTTTTTCCTCTTTAAAGGTCCTGTTATCAGTCTCTAGATGAAGTGAACTGTGCCAGGAGAAACTTTTGATTTTTAATTATTATTATAATTTTTTTTTTCCTTGCATGCTCTCCTCCCTCTTTTGCTGCCCCCCTCCCCTCCCTTACTGTGCGCTTTGTTGGATATGTGACGCTGTAAACATTCTAAATCAGGTTATTGTCTGTGTTGAGATACGTATCTGTGTAATTAAAAAAGACAGTGAAATATAAAACAGCCCTTGCGTCGTGTCATTTCTTGGGCAGCTTCCTTTCTTGCGCAGTCAACCATGATGTTGCCAACAGGGGAGTTTGGTCATCTGCATGTGCTGAATGAAATGAGGTCTCATATGACAGCAAGTGCTCAAATGCAGCTTTTACGGCTTGTCATCCACTCGAGTCTGCAGAATCTCTTGCTGCAGGTATGTGTTCTTATCTGCAGAGGTGGAAAGTAGCAAAGCATAATACCTTTCACTACACTTAAAAAAGATGGTTCTTTAAGGGTTCTTTAGTGGTTCTATGTAGAACCATGAACACTCAAAGAATCCTTTGCATGATCAAAGGGTTCATTGCATCATGAAAGGGATATTCAGATTAAAGGACAGAGTGTTGTAGATTGTTCTATATAGAACCTTTTTGAAAAGGGTTCTATATAGCACCTAAAAGCATTCCTCTATTGTTAGTGTCAAGCTTGTAACAATAGAAGAACCCCTTTGGGTGCTTTAGAGCATCTACAACACATTCTCCATCAATCTGAGGAACACTTTCACGATGCAAAGAACGCTTTAATAACGCAAAGGGTTCTTTGAGTGTTCATGGATCTATATAGAACCATTTTCTTTACTAAAGAACCATTGAAGAACCATCTTTTTCATTAATGTACATTTAAAAAATTGCCCTGTTAAACTCACAATTTCAAGATTCATTACTCTATATATTTTTGTAGGTCATGAGGTGATTTTTTTTGGAGATGGTCCCAAAATATGAACTCAATATAAATGATAATTGAACAAATAGTATGCAAGTCAGTGTTGGGGCAACAGTATCATAAACCTTCCATCAATAACTTACTGCTTTCTCTTGAAACAGACAGCACCTTATTTAAACCCTCAGAAATCCAAACATTGAATTTGTTTATGTATTTTCATATCAGAATCAGAATCAGAATCAAGCTTTATTGGCCAGGTATGCTAACGCATACAAGGAATTTGGTTTTGGTTACAGGAGCTCACAGTACCAGACAGACATTTGCATGTAGTAAATAAAATAAAATAAATATAAAATATAAAGAAAATAAAATAAAACATGCATTCCTACCATCACTCACTCAAACACACACACAGTCATACCTGTAAACCTTACATTGTGCAAAGTATGGGTCTAAAGTTAAAGTGCTGAGTGCAGCAGCAGTTAAAGGGTGTATAGTGGCAGAGAAAGGGGTCAGTGAGGTGACAGTCCAATAAGTGGGGTAATAAGGCAGGTAAGTAAGATGCTAGAATAAACACTGGTTTGAGGCGGCAGTTCCAGAGGATGGAGCTGAATTAGGTACTATATACCAGTTTTTATGAAGTGCAGTTTGAAGCTGGAAAATTGTTTTGTGTAATATTTTAACTGTTCAAGAGAGTGATATTTATCATTTTAAACTGTCTTAAGGAAGCCCCTGACCACAAAATTTAAATCATTAAGTTGAATTTTATTTGATTGTAGTATATATAATGCCAAAAAGTGGAGATCTGTGGTTGATCTGTCTGTGGAAATATATATTTATACATAAATTTGTATATGTGCATCTTTTATACACAGTCCTATGTGAATGGTTGGGCACCCCACACCAAATGACATGTTTTATTGGTTTTCTGAATGAAAATAAGTTCAGAAATAAGTGCAAAATGAACACATCTTTTACAGGGAGCGCATGTCTGCGCATTTTAATGCACAATTACTGTTTATTTGCTTGAACTTAAAATATAGTGCATACATAGGGGAAAATATATTGGGGGAAAATGGCCTGCGCAAAGGTTATGACATTTTGTATTTTCTGTTTTATTTTTTTTAAATATTTCTATTATGTATAGCAAATAAATAGAAATCAAGCACCTCTTCCACTTCAAGGCCAAGCTGGTTATCACTAGAAAGCATGAATGCCCACCGGAATTATTATTTGTATTATTCGTATATGGAGGATGACAAATACTACTCAGATATGCCAGCTTCATGTTGTCTAAGGTTTTTATACATCTTTGTTTCTTCCACATACGTCTTTAAAGGAAACAACACAGTAACATTTATAACTGTACTGGCATGTATTAAACCATGTATCAGACATATGCATCGTCCATGTAGCCTGTCATTCATATATGTCCAATATGTGATACATAAGTACATGTATTTTGAAATACATACCTGACCCATTGATATATATGCATATATGGCAATATATCAGATTTCTGCCCTGGTGAAAAAAATTTCCATGCTGTTCTAAGCTGATATAAGCATGTTTTTGCTGGTCTAGTGCTGGTTTAGCCAGCACTGGTCAAGTGCTGGTTTAGCCAGCACTGGTCAGCCAGTGTGGTCATGCTGGTTGATCAGCATAGCAGCATCCAAAACACAACATATGCTGGTTTTGCTGGTTTTTCTAGCAGGAGGTATTGGGTCCTACAGGAAACTAGTGGTCTCTAATGCTGTCTAGTAAGGCAATTTCCTTTACAAAACCATCCGTTTTGAATCATGATGGTTCTAATGGTCAATTTTCAGCAGGGTTCCTAACCATTTCCTTTCTGTTAGGGAGCTTTTAGGCCCTCTGACGTCTGGTTCCATTCACCACCACTGTGCCTCTAGTTTGTATGGAGCATTTGAGGGCATTTCACGTCACACCACCTTAAATGACTTTGTTTACACCTTAACCATGTCATTATACAGAAAATATGCCGCTTTAATCCAGTCTGGCTTCATTTAATATGCGAAAACTCGAACATTTCTATAAATTTAGTGATTTTAAGCAGATTTATGGAGGATCACATGACCTGCAGCTGAGCTGATGGCTGATTAAAGCCGCCCGGGTCCTCCATGGCTAGCTGACAGCTAGGCTAACTGTTTATAACGTGAAGAAAGACACTTTTCCCTCAGCCTGTTAGCAAAATATCACCATTAGTCCCTTCTTTTTGCGCCAGTTCAGGAATTTTCGACCTAATTACAAGATAAGTCGTGTTTTTGGGCGCATTTAGTCCCGTCCTAATTGAGAAGAGGAAGCTGGGTTCAAGGTGGCATGAGCGGAGAAGCGAGTGTCTCTGTTTATTGACATGGCGGAGCAGATTTACGACATTAAAGGAGCTCTGAACTCTGGAAATCAGTTCGCGGAGGATCCAGTAAGTTCCTACATGAGTTTACTGGGGGTGAAGTTTGTGAAGGTGAGGCTGTGTGGCGTGTATTTGCTTCTAAAAGAGGAGAAGTGGAGGCTTTTATCTCTAGGCTTTGCTAACTGGCTATACTGAGCTGTTAACTGTGATGCAAAGCGGTCCGTTTCATGTTCCACTCTCAAAAAAGATGGTTCCTCCAGGGTTCCTTAGTAAAGAGAAAGGTTCTGTTTATTTAGTTCTGTATATAACCATTTCATGCTCAAATGAAATCAAATGGTTCTTCAGACTGGTGGAGAATGTGTGGTATGTCGTTTTATATAGCAGCTTTTTGAAAATGGTTCTGCTCTTGTTACGATATCAGACTTGTACACACTTAAAAAGGTGGTTCTTCAAGGGTTCCTTAGTAAGGAAAATGGCTGTATACAGAACCATGATCACTCAAAGAACCCTTTGCATGATTAAAGGGCTCTTTGCATTGTAAAAGGGTTCTATATAGCTCCAGAAAGGGTTCTTCTATTGTAACAAGCTTGACAGAGTAACAGTAGGAGCACCCTTTTCATCTACAGCACATTCTCCATCAATCTGAAGAACCATTTCACTATGTAAAAAAATAGTATAAGCATGAAATGGTTCTATATAGAGCTCATATTTCTGAACAGAACCAAACCCCTTTCTAAAGAACAGTACTTTTAACTTTGAGCTGTTCTCTTCAGTCTCTTTTGGGCTCCATCTTGGTCAGATTTACACTGACTTTTAGACCTGCATATGGATTAAAAGCATACATTGTCCTTTTTGTCCTGTTTAGGATATTGAAGCCTACGCATTCGGAATTGTTCACAGTCGTGGTGATGGGAACCAGACATCTTACCTATATATATCTCTGTTGTTGGAACAAAACCTTGTATCTCCATTTTTGTCATTTTTCAGTTTTTGACAGAATTTGAAAATGCATGTTGGCCTTTTATAAATTGATGAAAATAAAAGACCCAAAACTACTAGGAAAACATCTGGTTCCATTGACTTACATTAAAAGTAGAGTATGTTTGTTTCCTTGTCCTATAAAGTTACTGTTTTGGAGATAGGAGGCTTTGTTCCGTGTGTGTATGTATGTATGTATGTATGTATGTATGTATGTATGTATGTATGTGTGTGTGTGTGTGTGTGTGTATGTATGTATGTATATATACACACCCCCACCCCCGATTTACCACTATTTTGCTCTCATCAACATTGCATACAAAAACATAGACTTGTGTAGGTTCACTGGTGGCTCTGGATAGTAAATAAAATAACTATATTTGTGTTGTAGGTCTCACAACCTCTGGTTCCTATCACCCCCACTGGTTTACCTGAAAATGTAAAAGTTGGTGGAATTCCCCTTCGAAACAAGTAAAAATGCCTAGAAATCCTGCATTTTAAGATGATTTCACTTGCCAAATCTTCCCTTCCTGCCCTTTGTCAGGAGCTGGAGGCCATCAAGGCCCGTGTGATGGAGATGGAGGAGGAGGCGGAGAAGCTAAGGGAGGTGCAGTACGGAGGAGAGAGACAGCAGCTCCTCTACAGCCCTCAGGCAGGTGAGCTCGATCAGCTGGCCTGCACCTGAGCCCATCTGCTGGGCCGCGGTGCTTCTCACATGTGCTTCATCGCTGCCCAATGAGCCGTGCCCCAGAAGGGCTCTCCTGCTGCCTGCGGCGCGCTCTTAGCTAAAGACGCTGCTGTCAGCGCGGGGACGGCCTTTTTGTAGCAGTTGTGCACCTTTCAGTGTTTCGGTTAAGGGTGGCCAATATGTTATTGTGACAAGTGAGGTGGCTGCGATAGGTTTTTCTGCATATATCAGTTGTTTGGTAAGTACAGCTTACATCTGCATGGATCATGAAAAATAGATGTATTTTTCCAGTTATATAAAAAATGTAAACAACCAGTGTGTAGTAGCTTCATAAGTACTTAAGGCACAGTAATGGAGTATGATTGGATGTCAGCATATTGTGTAATTATCTTATTTTATTTTTTAAACCGATTGTTTGATATTTTTTCTCTCTCTTTTTTTCTTTCTTTCAGAAATTGTTTATTTTTGCATACATTTAATAAAAATTATCATTTTACTCATAGCTTTTCATAGCTTTTTTTTAAAGTGGTAAAAATCCTAAGCTTTAGGAATGCACAGTAGGGCAGATGTTTAGATTTGACAAATTTCAAACCAGTATTTGATTATGTATTTATTGTATTAGAGAAGAGCCAAAATATCTGCATGTTATTGATTTTTACTGCATCTGTAACCCCACAGAAATGAGTGTTACTCCACAATACTTCTCGAGGTATATATAGTTCCTAAATTTTTACGTTTTATAAATGTTTGTATATCCACATCGGCCCACAGTCCTCATATCGGTACAACCGATCTACCATGAATCTTGAAAGCATCTTCAGATATTGTGATAAATATTTTTATCATATTGCCCACCCTTAGCACCAGAGACACAAAAAGGAAATCTATTAACTTGAATATTAAACATGAATATTACAGCTACCCTGACGACCTTTTCTGCGCTGTGTGTTTAGGTGCAGTTGTGTTCAGATGTAGATGTATTCAGATGTATTCAGCAGAGGATCTGTGTGTTTCCCCAGGACTTTTCTACAGTATGACCCATGAGGAGAGAATAGATGCAGACAACAGATCTGTCTATGTGGGGAACGTAAGGCCTCTTGTTTTGTTAAGGAGTTTTCCTTTTTATGCACCATAAACTTTTCTGTGAGCCTGCTTACACTTAGCCACTCTGGCTGATTGAACAGCTGTTTGACCCTGAAAAGGGCAAAAGTAAATAAAACAGAGAAAGGTGGCTGTCTGATCACTCTGACACTTCGCAAGGTGTTTTGAGCAGAATTGGTGACGCAGTTGGGTCAAGTGAAAATCATTCCGTTTCTTCAAGCCACACTCAGCTTTACTCCTCCCAAACAGAACTGCGCTTTAGTGAAAATTAGGCCTGTGCCAGGCAACAGTTAATTTAGTTACAGCCCCCAGTGGTGGTGATAAATTGTTTACAGCCAGGCTAATTAAAAAGAAGTTTATTTATTGATTTATTTCATGCAAAATATAGGAAGACACTAATAACTCCACACATGAACATTACGGAACTTTCACTTTCAAACATGTTGGGTGATGTGATGTCCTGTGTGGTGTTTCACGAGACACATCAAATTTTGCAGAGCCTGTTTGGGAGCCGTATGCTTTGGTTTCGGGACCAATTGCATGTTCGGTTTTCATACCACAACCTAAGCAACCACCTGGGATTCCATAAAAATTGCCTAGCAACACCTTAGCAACCACCTGGGATAACATAACAAAGGTTGTTGTTGTTGTCGTTGTTGTTCCTGGGAGAAGCAGCACTGATAAATCGTTTTTTATTTTTCTATCAGATGCATTCATGTGGAAAATAAATGAAAATTAAATAAAACAAATGTGTAGATAAACATAACGTCGTGATCAGAACAAAACCTTGTATCTCTTTTTTTAGTTCTTTCTATAGTTTGTCATAATTTGAAAAATCATTGTGTGAAAGTTTAACAACAAAAAAACTATTTACATTAACTTGCATTAAAAGTTAGTAATGCTTTTTTTAATTATACTGTAAAGTTACTGTTTTGGACATGTGAGGTTTTTGACCTACATATAAGGAATCTGTTCTAGATAAAATAATAATAGAAGAGATGAAGAGTGTAAATAGGCTTACTGTGTTGTAAACACAAGCACTACAAGCTTCCTCTGTCTTGTTTGTCCTGTGCAACTTAAATACTGCGAGTGCTGTTTTGAACGGAAACAGGTGGATTACGGGACCACCGCAGACGAACTGGAGATCCACTTTAATGGCTGTGGTCACGTTAACAGGGTCACCATCCTGTGTGATAAATTCACTGGCCATCCTAAAGGGTGAGGACAGGATTGCATTCGTCTGTTTTAGCACAGTGAACGAGCTTTATGGATCCACATTCTTTCACTCTTCATCAGGTTTGCCTACATTGAGTTTTCTGATAGAGAGTCGGTGAGGACGGCCATGGCCCTGGACGAAACCTTGTTCAGAGGGCGCCTCATTAAGGTGAGAGTGAACGCCATACAGCCTTTTTAATGGTTAGGATGAGTCTTTTTGAGCTAAATATTGGGGTTTTTTTTCTTCTCAGTGATGAGTGGCTTCCTGCTGTTAAGCTCCAACACTCCAACACTTCTTTCAGTGACTGGAGCTATAACAAGCTCGAGGCCACAGACAGTTGAATAGTTTTCATTTAAATAAAAATTATTGTTTGTAAAGCTTGTCTTAAAATTGTGAAGGGAAATTTTAAAATGATTCCCATTGTTGTCAGATAATATCAGTTAATCAATCAACCTTTATTTAACCTCAGAGAACATTGAGGGTGACCCTCATTTACAATGTTGCCGAGTTGATACAGGAAAAAAGGGATTGATGTGTAAGAACATATCAAATAATAAAAATCACTCAAATCCGGTAAGTAAAATACATAAACAGTAGAAAATATAAAACAATAATTAAAGCATAACTGAAATGTAAAAGTTGATAAAATCAGAAGATAAATAAAACAAAAGGAGGATATGATCAAAAAAGGAAACTAAAATTAATTAAAATGACTGAAGTAATAACAAAAAATAATTATCCTTATTCTTGTTTTAATCATATGAATAATAATAATTATAATAATAAACAATAAAAAAATTAAATAACTAAAATAATGAAAATAAGACAATAATAGTAAAAATCAAGTAAAACAGTTGCAGGCGGTGTGGAGGTGGTTAGAAAGTAAAAGTTTCCAATGACACCAGCAAGCTGAGCTTTAGTGTTTCCTGTAGTGAGTTCCAGCTCGTACGTCAGGCTCGTTATCTTGCTTGACCCTCCTGGATATTCAGCACAATATGCCACAATGACTGTGACAAGCTCATGGCTCTCAGGGCATCTGTCCATGCATCTGAAGTGTTAGTCCAGTGTGGAAACAGTGCTACATTCATATGAAGAGTGTCAGCAGTGAGAGCGCCTGTGACAATTGTGACAATCTGTGACAATTTCTGTGTTGAAAGAGCAGCTCAAAATGCATGAATACTGAGCAGCTACAGTTATTTACAAAAGTTTGAACACCCTATACCCCCTCAACAAAACGTGTACTATGAAGTGAAAATAAGTCAAAGCATCCTCTATGAAGAACACTTAAATATGTCATTGTATTAGAAATTGTGCACTAAAATTTTGTCATATTGGAAAGACAAAGTAGACACAATTTGTTTATTTTTCCCCCCAATATGTTAAATTCAGCAAATAAACAGTAATTGTGCATTAAACTGTGCAGAAGTGTGTTCTCTGTAGAGCAGGGGTGACTAATCCTGGTCATGGAGATCTACCACCCTGCAGAGTTTAGCTCCAACCCTAATCTAACACACCTGATCCAGGTATTCAAGGGGCTTCAGGGGCATCTGACAATATGAGCCAGGTGTGTTGGGTCTGAACTCTTCAGAGTGGTTGAACTCCAGGATTGAGCACCCCGGCTGGATCTGTTAACTTGGATTCACTCAGAAAATCAACAAAACATGATTTGAAGGGGTGCCCAGACTTTTGCATACGTCTGTACATATCGCTGCTCTCGGAACAAAACCTTGTATCTTAAAAAGGGTAACTTTACAGGAGAAAGAAAAACGTTCTTAACTTTTAATGGAAGTAAAAGGAGAACTATGATTTGTTTATATTTATTTATGTTGGTCTATTTATCATTACATTTTTACACAACATACAGGGCAACGGCAAAATGGAGAGATGAGGTTTTGTCGCGACAGCAACGATGTGTTTCCTTTCTGGTTAGTTAAAGTTTACGATACTGTGTAATGCTCCCTCTGCATTGATTTTAAGGGAGGACAGTGGAACAAAATAGTCCAAACAAGCTGTCAGAGTAGTAAGACATTGTTTTAGGCTTCGTTAACTTTATTAACTCACACTTAAAATATCAGAAACTGTGACATGTTTGGAAAATATCAGTATCACTCAGCACTGCTGTATTTTGGCCACAGGTATTACCTAAAAGAACCAACATGCCGGGCATTAGCACCACAGACAGGGGGTTCCTGCGGGGCGGCCGGTTCAGAGGTAGAGGCTTCCGCGGTTCCAGATTTAACAACGGCAGGTTTCGCGGATTCATCAGGTCAGTGCTTCACTCAGTGCAGCAGCGTTCTTATTTCATCAGTGTGTAGTCTGATGTAGGTCGAGTGCAAACAGTGAGTGTGTTTACATGCACCCCAATAATCCGGTCATAATCAGATTTCTGCAGTTATCTGATTATTGAAATGGTCATGTCAACAGCACACTCCGATTTCTTAGATCAGAGTAAGGACTAGAAATCTGATTAAGAAATCTAATAAAGAGAGCTGGATTTTAGCTCAGTAATCAGATTTCTCAGTGCATGTGAACTCTTACTCTGATTTCTTTCGGAGTTCCCAGTCTGCAGTGTAACAGAAACAGACCGGTACCGGAAATAAGCGAGCAGCGTTGGCACGGGACGCAGCAAAACACTTTTGGAGCGACACTGAAACCACTACTTGACGAAATGAAGAATTTAAATATTCTTCATCTTCTAGATGATGCATATTGATATTTTCATATAAAGTGGCACTAATATATATATATATATATATATATATATATATATATATATATATATATATATATATATATATATATATATATATATATATAAATAAAAAATTATAAAGCTTTAGCATGCAGTTTTGAGTTTTACATTATGTTTACATCACAGTTTATTGGCTCATTGCAAAGCAGAAATCTGATTACTGTCTGACTCGTGTAGACCAGGAGTTTCCCCATTATCTGATCACTACAGCGCATGTAAACGTGTTGATCGGGTTACTGATAAAATCTGGTTTTCTGCAGTTATCGGATTATTATTAAGTGCATGTAAACGCATTGAAACTATTTCAAAAGTTGCTTCCTTTACTTGTTGAGGCTGTGTGATCATCTTAATCAGGTAAATTATTAATTCTATAAATGTTTTTGTAACAGCACACATCATTAAAAAAAGTCTGTACAGTCCATATATGAAAACTAATCTGTGAAAACAGCCTGTTTTGAATTCACTGTTTTTGTGATGTCACAAAAAAACACCATATTACTTGTGTTGTACCAATTCAGCCTTCAGCAGTTTAGCATTGCCCACTCACACTGAAGTTATAAGGACTGTTTCAACCCAGACAGAACAGACCTCGCTTACATATTTCAGTCTTAAAGGCACAGTAACAGTTTGTTTTATTCTATGCCTATGTGTCAAACTCAAGGCCTGCTGGCCAGATCAGGCCCACCACACAGTCCTATCCAGCCCGCAGAAGTACTTTAATGTTCTATTAATATTAGCCCGTTTCACAATGCATTGCACTACAGTCCCCAGCATGCACTGCAACATAATGTGCCCAACTCTCCTACTCCAACAACAGTCTATGGGACAGCGGTTGCACCTCAATTCTACCCAGTTCTGCGCAATTCCACACCAGTCATATCACCAAATGCATTTCAGCTGCAGTTTAACCAACATAAACACTTAATGTCAACTCAGCAGCTCAAAAACTGAGCCCAAGTCTTAATAAACTTGCTGCAAATAAAGGATGCCAGGCGTCTAGTTCAAGCAAATAGATAGGTTTAAAAGACCGACCACTTGGAGACATTTAAATTTTGGACAATTCAAGTGTCCATGCAATATTTCAAGGTCTACAAGTGTCTATATTTTACTATTGACGTTTTTGCATATTTTGAATAAACAGTGGCCAGTTCAGGTTACATCACAACATTTAATTAAAAATGAATTAAATTTTTTCCTCTGGCCCACAGATTTGATGAGATTTTTTTAAATATGGCCCTTTTACTGGTTGAGTTTGACACCCCTGTTCTAAGGGATAAAGAGAGGCAGGAAAATGATGTAGAAATGAATGACCTTTTTTATGTTCATGGCACATAAAACCACATGTAATAAGTGGACCATAAATAGGGGAGAAATTCAAATGCGGGTATAATGTAGACTTTGTATGTTGTTCCTGTGAAGAACAGATTTACTGACCTTGTTTCAGGGGCGGTGGAAGAGCCCAGCCTTGGTATGTTCCTTATTGACAGAATGAAGACAACTTTCTCTTTTTTCCCCCCATTTGTTTGTTTTTCTTTTCTTGTATGGTCACCTAAGCACTTATCGGTGCTAACTGTTTAGTGTCACCACAGCCCTGCCCTTATCAGGACTCTATCTATGAAGCACATTTTTCATTGTACAGTATTAAGTATATATTTTGTGTATAGCTCATTTTGTCTCACTGATGTCAAGCATGAACACTTAACTTGCAACAATGGAGAAGACTTGGTTTACACTAATGGACTGTTACTATTTTATTTATATTTTATGGATGTCCTTTCTTTAAAATTGACTAGCTGGTTAGAGGCTGGAATGCCTTTAAATTTAAGTATTGTTTTTTTCTAATTTTGTATCTTCTGTGGTTATTCTTTACTGTAAATAACTGAACGAATTTCATGGAGAAAAAATAAATAAATGGATTCATTTTCCTTTTGCCTGTATTACATAAATCAACATTGGTCGATTTTAAAGTGTAACTCAAAAGACTTTTTATTTCACACAGTATACAAACATATACAGCTCAGGACATGAGTGCAGAGAGGGGGACACAGAAGCTGCTGTATTTACAGTAAGAACAGACATAGTTAGGAGGATTGCACCATCATAGTTGACACCATGCTGTCAAAGGCCCTGAAACAAGAGAAAACATTTAGTTCAGGGGATTCATCTGTAAATTCAGCCAAAGGTGCACAAGAGGGCTGTATGATACAGGGGCCATTCTACAGAAATGTCCATTTTTGTCTCCCTTGGGTTTAAAGATATATTACACTTGGGGCTACAATTTATTTATACACTGCTCAAAAAAATAAAGGGAACACTTAAACAACACAATATAACTCCAAGTAAATCAAACTTCTGTGAAATCAAACTGTCCACTTAGGAAGCAACACTGATTGACAATCAATTTCACATGCTGTTGTGCAAATGGAATAGACAACAGGTGGAAATCATTGGCGATTAGCAAGACACACTCAATAAAGGAGTGGTTCTGCAGGTGGGGACCACAGACCACTTCTCAGTACCTATGCTTTCTGGCTGATGTTTTGGTCACTTTTGAATGTTGGTGGTGCTTTCACACTCATGGTAGCATGAGACGGACTCTACAACCCACACAAGTGGCTCAGGTAGTGCAGCTCATCCAGGATGGCACATCAACGCGAGCTGTGGCAAGAATGTTTGCTGTGTCTGTCAGCGTAGTGTCCAGAGCCTGGAGGTGCTACCAGGAGACGTGGAGGAGGCCGTAGGAGGGCAACAACCCAGCAGCAGGACCGCTACCTCCGCCTTTGTGCAAGGAGGAACAGGAGGAGCACTGCCAGAGCCCTGCAAAATGATCTCCAGCAGGCCACAAATGTGCATGTGTCTGCACAAACGGTTAGAAACCGACTCCATGAGGATGGTATGAGGGCCCGACGTCCACAGATGGGGGTTGTGCTCACAGCCCAACACCGTGCAGGACACTTGGCATTTGCCAGAGAACACCAGGATTGGCAAATTCGCCACTGGCGCCCTGTCCTCTTCACAGATGAAAGCAGGTTCACACTGAGCATGTGACAGACGTGACAGAGTCTGGAGACGCCGTGGAGAGCGATCTGCTGCCTGCAACATCCTTCAGCATGACCGGTTTGGCAGTGGGTCAGTAATGGTGTGGGGTGGCATTCTGTGCTCGCCAGAGGTAGCCTGACTGCCATTAGGTACCGAGATGAGATCCTCAGACCCCTTGTGAGACCATATGCTGGTGCGGTTGGCCCTGGGTTCCTCCTAATGCAGGACAATGCTAGACCTCATGTGGCTGGAGTGTGTCAGCAGTTCCTGCAAGATGAAGGCATTGAAGCTATGTACTGGCCCGCCCGTTCCCCAGACCTGAATCCGATTGAGCACATCTGGGACATCATGTCTCGCTCCATCCACCAACGTCACGTTGCACCACAGACTGTCCAGGAGTTGGCGGATGCTTTAGTCCAGGTCTGGGAGGAGATCCCTCAGGAGACCATCCGCCACCTCATCAGGAGCATGCCCAGGCGTTGTAGGGAGGTCATACAGGCACGTGGAGGCCACACACAATACTGAGCCTCATTTTGACTTGTTTTAAGGACATTACATCAAAGTTGGATCAGCCTGTAGTGTGTTTTTCCACTTTAATTTTGTGTGTGACTCCAAATCCAGGCCTCCATTGGTTAAGAAATTTGATTTCCATTGATGATTTTTGTGTGATTTTGTTGTCAGCACATTCAACTTTGTACAGAACAAAGTATTCAATGAGAATATTTCATTCATTCAGATCTAGGATGTGTTATTTAAGTGTTCCCTTTATTTTTTTGAGCAGTGTATTTTAAAATAAAACCAGTTATTTGAACAATTACACCACCTTGAGCCTCAATTCAGCAATATTGGTTTTTAAATCAATTATCTAGAATGCTCAAGGATCAGGTCAGGATGCTCAAGGCACACAATAAAACATTCAGCGATTGGTTAGAGACTCATTTGCATATTGCAGCCTTCTGTGCTAACAGTATTGTGAAGGCCAGGCCTGACTGACCACTTTATTAGGTATAGCAATCTTGTATCTTCACTTAATGTCCATTTTATCAGCTCCACTTATCACAGAGGTACACTTTGTTGTTCTACAGTTACAGACTGTAGTGTGTATACTTTGTTAGCCCCCTGTATTCAATGGTCAGGACCCCCACAGAGCAGGTATTATTTGGGTGGTGGATCATCCTCAGCACTGCAGTGATACTGATGTGGTGGTGGTGTGTTAGTAGTTGTGAGAAAAATAATTAATTATTAGAAGCATCGAGTTTCCTTCTTTTGAAAGGTTCTGAATCAATGCCCAAAATATCATAATAGGATTTTTAATATACTTTTCTCTTCTGTAAAATGTACTTGTGTGCAGCCAGAGACTTTGTAAGGTAGGATACTCTGGCTCAGCTTGAAGGAGGAAAAAGTGCAGGATTATCATGATAGATGCATGTTTTCAGTCACAAATTGGTCATCCTTTTATGTGAATATGGAAAAAAAGGCCTGAAACCAACGTAAACATGGCCCTACATAGGAACTTGGCTTTAACAACCACCCCACGAACTGAGAATATCAGAGTATCACTGGATTAGATGCTGCTCACTGGCTAATCCAGTGATATTCTGAGTTAGGCTTTAAGTTTAAAAACTGTTAATCCTTCAGTAAAATTACATGCAACATAAAAAGTAAAAAATACAGTATAAAATCTTAGCTGCCCATTGTTACATGTTAGATTAAACCTCATTAGATGGTAAAACTGAAAATAATCCACCACCAAACAACACCTGCTCAGTGGTGGTCCTGTGGGGGTCCAGACCATTAATGAACACAGTAAAAGATCACTCACTAACAAACTATGCAGGGAAACAGGGTAGGTGTTTCTAATAAAGTGGCCAGTGAGCATAGTGCGCAGGCCTAACCCACAGTATATTAATATTAAACCAGTTCTTACTTTGACTGAATTGGATCGCCAGGGTTGTAGAAGGGATTGCACATAACATCTGTGAAGGAATTGTGCAATTTTCTGAACATCTGTGGAGACAGAATGACTGGTAAGATGACTTTCTATGCATGTGGTAATCCAGAATGACTCTGCATGACATTCAAGAGTTGTTAAGACTTTGAGACATGTTAGCTTACGCTTCGTATCTCGTTGTCTCTCAGTGATGTGTTTGAAGAGTCTACGACAATTACAAACTTCACTTTGGAGTTCGTCACATAGCCATATCTGATATTTCAGTTAAGGACACCTTAAAGAGAAACTCCCCCCCTAAGACCTTGTTTTTCATTAACAGCTGAAATGCACTGTTCTGTAATAATAAAATATACCAAAAATGTAAACACGTTTCCAAACTGTAACAAGCTTAGTTTGTAATAAAGATGTTGGACTGATTAAGTGAGGATTCTTGCGAGTCTCCATAAAGCTGCCGGTGTTGCATCCGATTCACGTTTCCCTTCACAACTCAGACCCTCGGGCGCCGCACTCACTGAACAGACATCACGGTGAGCAACACTGGAACTAAGGAAAGCGAAACGGTTGACGTTAAATGGCCACTGTTAGCAAATGTGTCAAACTCTCGGCCGTACAGCCTTTCTTGAACTTTTTTTTCTGCTTTCCGTAGTTCTCTCCATTTTTCTGGTGGCTAATGTACGCTAGCTCTAAAACACAGCAGCTCAGCCCACCTGGTTTCCCTCCCTCGTTTTTGACACAAAATAAAGGGCGACTGCCTTTTTCAAATTATGTCAAAAAAAGAAAAACGGCAAAAATAGAAATATGAAGTTTTGTCCCAATAGCAACATCATGCTACATTGTGGCCAGCATTGTTAAAAGTGAATTAGAATTAAATATACACAGCAAAAGTTTCCATTTATGAGCAAACTAGTTCAACAGTTCATCGTTTTCCAATATCGTTATTTATTTATTTATTAGCTGTTTTCAGGGGGCAGAAGACAGTAGTTGTTGGAGACTGTGAGCACATCATGTGAAGGATACACTTTGTAGTCCTCTGTCGGGTAAAGCAGACCCAAGTACAGCTCTCTTTGCTCAGCCATGGCTTTCCCCACTGTAGAGATCTTCTCCTCCACTACATCCAGTGAAGTGTGCACAGTGTAGTGGAACTTCAGCTCACTCTGGGAGGGGACGCTCCGTATGTACAGAGGGTAATTCTGTAAAGGGGACAAAATCGCACAAACGCTAAGACGCGAAGGTAAAAGAAAACCTTGCACATTTACAACTGTAAATAAAAGCATGCAGTAAAAGTACATTTTGCACTAGAGACGCATATCCGACACTGGGTATCAGTATCAGGCTAATATCAGCAGAACATGCTGGACTGGATATCGAAGAAGCAAAAAAAAATGAGTATTTAAGTCCACTGATGAGCCTTTGAGATGGACATGGTTTAGACTTGCCTGCATTATTCTGAAAAGTATACATATTTTTACCATGTGACTATATCTATATATCAAAACTACCACATAAACTCTTCTTCTGAGGTCGGTGAGGATGTGCAAAAGGAAATGTAGACTCTCATTTACTTATTACAAAGTGCAATGTGATCAGCACTGCAAGTGTTAAATACTACTTATTAACAAACACAATATTGTGCAGTCCTACTGCCAACACACAGATGCACTGCAAAATCCTAATAATGTAACGCTGTACTAAAAAAATACAATGCAGTTTTCATTTTTTTTGGATGGGGGGGTCATAATCATGCAGAAAAGATCAGCTGTTACTGCAGGTAAATACATTTTCCGAGAGGTTTTAATGAATAAAGTGTGGATATTAAAGAGGAATTCCAGTGAGTTCTCAAATGTCTGCACCTCAATGAGTGCACTGTAGAGAAATTTTTTTAAATTGTTGTGGTGATAGGAACCAGGGGTTGCAATGTCTATACCACAAATATAGCCATTTTATCTTCTATCCAAAAGCACCAGTGAACCTACACGGTCTTTTGAATTTTTATACAATGCTGATGGTGAAATGGAAGTAAATAGTGAAAAATTGGGGTCTGTTTTGCTTCACGGTGCCCTGCATGTATCTCTCCACTATGAATGTATATATATCAGGCAGTGTATTCATAACCATTGCATGTAATCATTTTCTGTGAGGGAGCTTTTAGAGGCATTAAATTCTTTAGTCGTCTGGTTCCCATCTCCACCACTGTAAACAACTCTGACTCGGTATGTTTCTCTAGAATGGAGCACTTCACGTCAAACCTCTCTGAATGACTATTTACATCTCAACCATGTAATCATTCAGAATTTTGTAAAAAATGGTGGAATTCCCCTTTACTGTGCTGCAGTTACTGTAGGTAAACGAGTTTCACTACAAATAGAAAGCCTGTTAGAGGAAATCCCAGCCAAAGAGCACCACAGATAAACCAGACTGAGTTCCACATATCAGAAAAACAATGTCTGACATAATAATAAATATGATTACAGCTGGAAAATCCAAATAAAGTCTGTTAGTAAGTGAATGGTGGAGCTGCTGGAGCTCCTCTTCTCTGAGCCACTGACAGACAACATCAGCGTTCACGATACTAAAACTCCATTATACACAGCCCAGCATCGCGACTGAACGGTCCCGGTTATGACATTTATGTCTTTTTAAATGTCCCCAATCCTTAAAACGCATTTTAACCAGAGATAAAAGCAAGAAAAGAAGATATTTCAGTGTTTACCTCCTTCGCTATCACCGCCACACACACCGCCATGTTGAGACGGTGACGACACACGGCCCCGCCCACGACACGTGACGTGACGCAGACTCGGCGTTTATTTTCTTGATTTATTTTAGGTTTGGAAGGTTTTTTTTGCTTAAACGAGGCGCTATTTTTGTTAGCAGTCCTGTGTGCCGAGAATATGTCATCCGTGGACCTCTTGCAGTGTTTATGCAGACTTCTTTAAACTTCGACTCACATTCAGAGGACGCTACTGTGCGCACTTCCTCAATGTCCGAGGCATGTGATGAGCAGAAACTGGAGATGAGATGAGATGAAGAGAAATGGGGGTCCAGCGAATCAAATGTGCGTCCATCCTTTTCTGGACTGTGTGCTTCCTTACAGCCACCGACAGTCAGAATGTGTCCACTCCAAATATCATCATCATGCTAATGGATGATGTGAGTCTTTTAAAGTAACTCCGCTCCTGGTGCTTCTGTACTCTTCTATACTTTAGGTGCTTCTGTACTACTGTACTTCTGGTGCTTCTGTACTACTGTACTTCTGGTGCTTCTGTACTACTGTACTTCTGGTGCTTCTGTACTTCTGGTGCTTCTGTACTACTGTACTTCTGGTGCTTCTGTACTTTGGGTGTTTCTGTACTTATGTACTTCTGGTGCTTCTGTACTTTGGGTGCTTCTGTACTTCTGGTGCTTCTGTACTACTGTACTTCTGGTGCTTCTGTACTTTGGGTGCTTCTGTACTTATGTACTTCTGGTGCTTCTGTACTTTAGGTGCTTCTGTACTTCTGGTGCGTCTGTACTACTGTACTTCTGGTGCGTCTGTACTACTGTACTTCTGGTGCTTCTGTACTTCTGGTGCTTCTGTACTTTAGGTGCTTCTGTACTACTGTACTTCTGGTGCTTCTGTACTTCTGTACTTTATGTGTTTCTGTATTTTATGTGTTTCTGTACTTCTGTCTTTCTGCAGTTCTGGTGCTTCTGTACTTCTGTCCTTTGGCATCCATCTTATCAGTTGTGGACGAACCACCAGCTGAATTTCTGTAGTTCTGGTCAAAGTTTAAGGTGCTGATGCTCTATTTTGTGCAGCTTGTTTCTGTTCTAAGTAATTCCATGAAAAGAGTGTCATTTAAGTCCACACCAGAATGTGGTATCACATGTTTTCCAAGCTTAAACATATGAATTCATCATGGTGGACGAAAATATTTCATTGTAAATGAAAAAAGTTTGCTTTTCTACATATTTTTTAGGATGATGTGCGTTTTTTGACATGTTCGTATAGACCAGTGGGCACCAACCGTCCTCATAGAAGTCTACTTTCCTGCAGAATTAGAACCAGAATCTGCAGGAAGGTGGATCTCCAGGACCAGGGTTGGTGACCACTGAAGTAAGATGTGTTGAAACATTAATCAGGTATAATCATCTGTCAAGCTACACTCTTAAAAACATGGTTCTTCAAGGGTTCTTTAGTAAAGACAGTGATTCTATACAGAACCATGAACACTTAAAAACCATTTGCATGATTAAAGGGTTCTTTGCAGAATGAGTTCTTCAGATTGACGGACAGTGTGTTGTATATGGTTCTATATAGAGCCTTTTTAACGTGAAACCTTTTCTATGCTCAAAGTATGTTTCCACTAGTGATGGGAGTCAATTCCGAAAGAGTCAGTTCTTCAACTCCAGTGCGCTTGTTTACCAACTTTATTATAATCCATTGCTGCTCATCAGCTGCTGATAAACGCGTCTGCCACAGAATAATCGATAGGCATCATGATATTTAGTTTTTATGAGATTTAATAAGATTTAAGAAGTTGGAAAAGACAAAATAGAACCTGTAGTGCCACATATAATAATAATAATAATAATAAAAATAATAATAATAATAATAATAGTAATAATAGTAATAATAATTGTTATTATTATTATTATTGTTGTTGTTGTTGTTGTTGTTGCTTTGCAGTCTGCAACCTCTAACTAGAAAAGTGCATTTCCTGAAGAAAATACAGACAGATTGCGCAGCTTAATCAATTTCCAGGTGGTTGCTAGGGTGTTTCCAGGCAGTCACTGTGGTATTTTATGGTATTTTATGGCCGCTTGCTATGGCATCCCAGCTGGTTCCTGGGAAGCTGCTAAGTGGTTGCTGTGGTATCCCAGGTGGTTGCTAAGGTGTTTACCAACTTTATGATAATCCAGTGCTGCTCACCAGGCACTGATATAAACGTCTGCCTCTACAGTAGGGGTGGGCGATACGGCAAGAATGTTATCACAATACTTCAAAGCATTTATACTCCATATGCATCACGATATTTAGTTTTTCTGAGGTTTAATAAGTTGGAACAGACAAAATAAAACCTGTAGTGCCACATTTAAAAATACTATAATAATAATAATAATAATAATAATATAATAATAAGCCTACAATGACAGTGATCTTTATTCAGTCTTTTACAAACTGCACTAAATCCAGTTAAACAGGCTTAATTCTGCTCACTCTGTAATTAAATATATAGTCAGTCAGTATTCTTTAAGGAACTGACGATATCCACAATATGCTCAGCAAAGCATATTGTAATAAATTATAGCACGATAATGTCAAAATGTCATCATATTGCCCACCCCTACTCTACAGTACACCCCTACTCTGCACTCTGACTCTGCTATGGGGGGGGGACGTGATTTTCTTCATGATTAGGGCTGCAACAAACAAGGACTCAAAACTGTATGTAAGGAATGAAAAGAAAAACCATAGTAAACGATATTGTTTACACATTACACAGAAAGTAGCTGAAGTGCCATTTTTTCTCCCTGCTTCTTATTCGCATTTTCCGTTCCTCCTTAATGCTGCAGTTACATTCTTGCGCCTGTACACTAACTAGATACCCGCTGCGTTATTTAAGGTGGAACGGAAAATTCAAATAATAAACTGGGGAATAAGCTAAATGTGGCCTCATGGAAAGAGGAACAAGAAAACATTCAGCTGCTCTGGAATGAAAACTTTACTTTAAATGTTGTTAACTGGCTAATAATGGTGTATTTTAATAGAGTTATGACTGAAGTAGGTTAATGATTTTTTCAGTGCATCACTCAGAGTTTCCTGTCGACGCTCGAGCTCCTTCAGCAGCCCCATCACATGAAATATATGTGATGATGCGAATTCTGATAGTAAGATGTGTTGATACATTATTCAGCTGTAATCATCTGTCACGCTACACTCTTAAAAAACATGGTTCTTCATGGGTTCTTTAGTAAAGACAGTGGTTCTGTACAGAACCATGAACACATTTAAAAACCATTTGCGTGATTAAATGGTTCTTTGCAGAATGAGATGGTTCTTCAGACTGATGGAGAATGTGTTGTGTATGGTTCTATATAGAGCCTTTTTAAAAAGGGCTCTTCTATTGTTACAAGCTTGACATTGCAGAACCCTTTTTTGGTGCTATATAGAACCGTTTTCAAAAAGGCTGTTTATAGAAGCATATGCAACAAAACATTCTCCATCAGTCTGAAGTACCATTTCACCATACAAGGAACCATTTAAAGAACCTTTGAAGAACCATGTATTTTAAGAATTTCATTACACTATAATTTCTTAACACTATAAGCCACTCAAAACTGGGTAAACTACATTTAGAGTGGTTTAATATCTGCTGTATCTCTAGTAATTTAAACATGTTAATTGTAAGAAAACATTTAGTAATTATGATGTTTTGCTTTCCAATTTGTCACGGCAAGAAATTTAGCCATAAAAACAATGCACTGTCACATTAAGTGACTCTATAAAGATAAATATATAAAAGGCCCAATCCCATTTCTTACTTTTACCCCTACCCCTGTTTTCAAGTGTCACTTTGCCCCTTGGAACTGAGTTACAAGGGGTAGTGGTTGAAATCTTCCCCTCTGAAATGGGACCCTCAAATAAAAACAGCATTACTTCATAAACAGCTACCAGCGCTGCTCTGTAGGCGACCCTGCCAGTCTGCAGTGACAGCAGAGGAGGGTAAAGTTCAGCTCCTCACTGCTGGGCTTTAGTCACATTTCAGGGCATCATATGATCTTCAAAGAGGGGGGCAATTATTTATTATCTTCCACCACTAATTGTTCAGTGATCTGAAGCTGAAGTCAGATATTCACCAGCTTGTTGTTCGAATTTCCCAATTCCACCTTAAATGGTGCAGCAGATATATTCTGGCACTTCAGGCTTTGGAACTGCTGGACTATTTAAGGTGGAACTGGAAATTTAGCTAACTACTGAGACATCAGCAAACCACTAGCGATTTTCTATGCTTATGAAGAAAAGGACCATAATACACTAAAATTACATTAAACTAAGATAATACAGTGATTATTGTAATTTTCAACAGAGAAAATTCCCACATTTGTGGGTTTCTTTGGTCTCTTGTTCAGCCAGCTTGCTGGTTTTTCTTTTTTTCTCATATCACTCTGTTTGGAGTCTCTGAAAAACCTCAGTTTGGAGGGTCATGTAGCCCCAACACTTCACCCCACCCCTCTATCTCAACAAGAATTGGGACACCCTACCTAACCGGAGGGCTAAGGCCTAAGTAGTAGGGGTGTTGGGTGAAATGGGATTGGGCCTAAATGACCTTGATTTAAGTTCAAAAGCTGATACATTTTGCTTTTATTCAACATTAATAATTTGCTGTTTTTTCAACCCTGACTGGGTCCATCGAGTATACAGTCATGTTGACATGTTTGTTTGTTCTCTGTAGAGGATGTGTGAACTTACTGTGCACTTACTGTGAAAATCAACAAAACATGCACTTTGACTGTGTGTATTTAACTGTGTGTATTTGTGTGTATTTGACTGTGTGTATGTAACTGTGTGTGTATTTGACTGTGTGTATGTAACTGTGTGTATTTGACTGTGTATGTAACTGTGTGTATTTGACTGTGTGTATGTAACTGTGTGTATTGCTGTGAAATGTCCACCTTTTCACACTAAAGACAGAGGAAACGATGCGCTTACTGAGGGAAAAACAACACACAATTAAAACTATAGAGGACAAAAAATGTGATTAATTGACAAACACTTTTAAAATCACCACATCCGTCTGGCGCTGATCTCCTGGAATGACTCTACTCTGTTTTGGCTCACATGGTGCATTCTCCCCTGTTTCCTCTTCTGTTTCAGATGGGATGGGGTGATCTGTGGGGTGTTTGGTCAGCCCGCCATGGAAACTCCAAACTTGGACCTGATGGCTTCTCAGGGGATGCTGTTCCCTAACTTCTACACCGCAAACCCACTCTGCTCTCCCTGTGCGTGTCTGCACTGAGGTTGCCTTTAAATTGCTATCAGAACACATGTCTACACACTATATGTCCAAAAGTATCTAGACAGCCCTTCTAATGAGTGAATTCAGGTATATTAAAGTGCACACATTGCTGATACACATTGCAAATTCCCTATTAATACCCTTGTTTTCAGTAGAATCATAGATGTGCAGGTGTCTACAAACTTTTGGACATATTTAGTGTACCCAGAGACAGCTTTGCAGTACATTTTAATTATTAGTATAAGCATAAACATGAACATTGCAATGAAGTATTTAGTGTTTGCATTGTAATAACTACTAAATATACTTACTAACTGATAAATTCTTCATAGTAGATGATCCTAATCCTGATATTGTTAGAAGTGCACAGATCATGACTTTATATGACCAATGCCAATTTCTGTACAGCAAAACTGGCCAATATTTTTGTCATGAGATCTCATTTCCAGTACATTCTGTTAGCCAGTGTCATAATATAAATAACAATACTTTCTCTTTAAAGTGCCAAATTGGCATTTAAAATGTATAAATGTCCTGTATTATGTCAAACCAAATTTTCCTTACTTTTAAAGTTATGAAATAGAATTCAGCCCCGCCAGGTTCGAAAATTAAGCTGCAACAGCCTGTTTTTAATTTATTGTTTTGTGATGTCATAAAAATCAGAGTATTTGCATATATTTGCATATTCAGCCTACAGCAATTTAGCCCCGCCCACTCACTAACGCTAAAGTCATAAGGATTGGCTTATCCCATACTGCTTAAAAAATGTGGTACAATGCAGGGCAGCCAATCAGAACAGAATGCATTTACATATTTACAATATTCATTTACATATCACTCTTAAAGGCACAGTAACAAAACCTGTTCAACTCTAAGGGATAAAGAGAGCACTTACCTGCCTCACAATGCTTATGTCAAAAAATTACAACACAGATGGGCAGATATTAAAATAATAAGTGGGCTAATTACTGATCACGTGTTTGGAGTCCAATGCTGGCCAATTGTGGTCATTTTTATAAACATACTCTGCACCACAGTAAAATAAAAACACATATACGGCATAAATGGTGTTTAAGTCTGAGAAGACATAATTCTTTGGATTTCAGTGCTAAGACAAAACATATACTAGCACAGAGTATTCTGCAAAAGTTTGAACAAATTACATGTTTTGTTAATTTTCTAAGTGACAATAAGTGAACAAATCCTCTATAGAAAACACAATTAAATGTGGGCATTTCGCTGCAAAGTTTCGTGCAAAATTTCTCTTTATTAACATATAAAATAGGCCGTAACTTGTACACAGGCTGCGTGTTGTTTTATTTTTTTCTCAATATGTTAAATTCAGGAAATAAACAGTAATGGTGCGTTAAAAAATGTGGCCTCTGTAAAGGATCTGCACTTATTTTCACCTAGAAGAGCATGTCTGTAGACCGGGGCGCCCAAACTTTTGCACGCAATTGTATTTATCACATGTATGAGGAACTATGTGTACATTTTGGTTCTGTATAAGACGGTAGCTGTTGCACTATAATATCTCAGAAGCGCTTGATATTTCAGCTTAGGTACGACTTTTGGGGGGAGATCTTGATTTAAAATGACACGTCCAGAGGAAAGCGGCCTAGCCTCTGGCTTGGTCAGTTTAAAGCGCACCGCTACGTGAGAACCGCTGGCACTGAGTGGCAGGAAAATAGAACTCATTATGCTAATGTGGCTAATGCTCACACTACTGATGTATGCAAATTATACATAATTTGGGAATCTGAACGAATGTGTTATGCAGAAGATGTACCGTTAGGCCCTTCTCAGTTCTAATTAATATTTAAGCAAATAAGGCTTAATCGATAGTTAATCTGGAGAGTGAGATGAAGGCGCCTGGAGGAAGTCTCTGTACCTGGTGTTCTGTATTAGCGCCGCGGAGGCAGTATTAGAGAAACTTCCTCAGAACCTTAATTAGAATTTTAATCACAGAGCAGATAGGGCGAGGGTCTTCTAATCACAGTGCGCAGGGTGAGCTCCCCTTTCTCTCTCTTCTCCCTCTCTCGCTCTTTGAAATGAGAGTCTTATTTGCAGGCTGATTTTGTAAATTTAAACCAGCTCAGATTTGCTCTTCAGGAAGGTTTTTTGCTTTTCGATTAGATGTTCAAACTTTTATTTCGCGAGGACGGTCAAGTCTCTGCAGTAATATGTTTCCTTCATGCTTGAGATGCTTTCCGTGATGAGTAGCACATTCCCTGCCTTCGCTTCGTTTTCCCAGAGTGTTCTGATTTCCTGTGGTTTATAAGTGAAATGACTGAAAACGTCTTTCCCCTGTTCTCGCTCTTCTTCCTGTCCTCCAGCCAGAGCGGCCCTGCTTACTGGAAGACTTCCAATTCGCAACGGGTTCTACACCACCAACGCACACGCCAGGAACGGTATGACCTGCCATAACTCTACCATCGTCTTCGAACCTTTGACTGCGTGGCGTTGCCCTGTGGCAACAACTCGATTTTCCCATTATGTTTTTTTGATTTTCAACATTTTGAAAAAAATAAAATATTAAAGGTGATATAACTTCATAACGGTATGATCTACTGTAACCATCGCCACTATCTTTTAACCTTTTACTGCATGGCGTTCATTTTCCCATTACATTTAGTTGATTTTCTAAGTGAAAATAAGTTGGCACATCTTCTATAGAGATCTGATTGTAAATATGGCAGTTTCTACTAATTTTAGTGTAGCATATCTATATTTAACATATTGGAAAAAAATAAAATATAAAATTTTACATAACTTCATCACGGTACGATCTAACGTAACTCTACTATAACTCTACCATTGCCACTCTCTTTTAACCTTTTACTGCGTGGCGTTGCCCTGTGGCAACAACTGGATTTTCCAATTATGTTTGGCTGATTTTCTAAGTGAAAATAAGTTAGCACATCTTCTACAGAGATCTGATTGTAAATATGACATTTTCTTCTAATTTTAGCGCAGTGTATCTATTTTTTTATTCAGTTTATTAAAAAAATAAAATATTAAATGTGACATAACTTCATAATAGTATGATCTACCCTAACTCTACCCTAACTATTTTCTAAGTAAAAATAAGTTAGCACATCTTATACAGAGATCTGATTGTAAATATGGCATTCTCTTCTAATTTTAATGCAGTATATCATTTTTTTTTATTTAACATATTGGAATTATAAAATATTAAATGTGACATAACTTTTACATTTTTTTTTTTCCCGACTGTTAAGTTCAGCAAATAAATAGTAACTGTGGGTTTAAAGAGGTAGATATGTGTTCTCTGTAGAGGTTGTGTTATCTTATTTTCTCTTAGAAAATCAGCAAAACGTCATTATACCAGGGGTGGCCGAAACTTTTACATATTTTTTGCCTGACTACACTATAAAAGTCTTTTTTGTCCTTTGCGAAGCTGAAGGTTTTCTGAGTAAAGTTGCTCACTTTTTTCTGATCACGTCTTCCTGTTACATTCAGTAGTTCTTTTCAAAAACACAAGTTTGTATATAATTCATTATTTGTTTGCAAGAACTTCAAGAAAAAAAATTAAACACAATCTGTTTATCATGAATAAAACCAATTCAGATTTCATGGGTTTCAGTGTGGCAACAGCGTGCAGCAATGGACCTGCAGTCACACAATGAGAGTAATTGAATCGACTTTTTTTCATTACCATTTGAGGGTTTTATCAGTATTATTATTTTCATACTTTTCTGTTTTCTTAAACATATATGCATGAATGGCTGTTATGCTATGCTAATGCGCTGATTTGCTCTCATTGTAAGCATTGCAGATTACAGGTCTTTTATTGCATGATGTTGGCCGTATGGCAACAAAATGCACAGCACCCCCAAAAATGTTTTTTTTTTTCCAATTTCCAAATAACAGAAACATATTTTTTATAGTTTCGTAATTCATGCAGTAAAGGGTTAAGTATGTACAGTTCTGACCTCATGATTACATTGCATCACTGAACTTCTTGATTTGATACTTGATTTGATTCAGTTATTCTGGTACAGAGTCAGAATTATTTTTAAAAGTACACTGAATACACAGATATGACTGGAAGAACAGTTTACACAGAAATATAAACACAACACAACAAGCTTTTTAGGGAGATTTTTTTTGTTTTGTTTGAAAATAGCCTGAGAAGTTTATTTCGGCCGAAAATGAGCGCATTCTTTATATTTTTAAAATGAATTCTAAGACTAAATCAGTTCTAATTCTAACATTCGCTGCCTGCAGATCACTACATTTTTCCACCTTTACTGTCTGTTAATCTCATTTTGCTGCTCTTGTCTCTGAGCGTCGTGTGTAACAAGTGTTTCTCGTACAGCCTACACTCCTCAGGAGATCGTGGGAGGAATCTCAAAAGACGAGATACTGTTGCCTCAGATCCTGAAGAAAAAAGGCTATGTCAGCAAGATCGTCGGCAAGTGGTGAGTTCCTCCAGTGTAATTGCAGTTATGATGATGCAGGGCTGAACTTTACACCAGGCAAAGGTGGGCAGCCACCTAGAGACCCATTAAAATGCAAATTAAATCGCCGCCGTCATTAAAAAAAAACTTTTTTTCACATTTTCATTTTTCTTGCATCATTCGAAAAAACACCAGGTGCTCTTTACATTGTGTGAACATTTCATGATAAATGACCAACAGAAATTGGTCAAAATTACTTAAAATCTACCTCTAGGCCTAAAATCATTGATCCATTGCAGTGATCACAGCATCAAGGCTTGTGTTTTTATAATAATTATTCAATTTTATACTTTTATTCTTAATTTTATACTTGTACTGTCATTTGCAACTCATAGGATACATTCTGTTGAAAGTGCACATTCTAAGGTTTCAATCCATAAAATATTTGTGTTTGTAAGTAGAAGAGGAGATGTTTTGTGCGTTAAGGAAAAACATCCTTTGTATTACATAATGTATTTAAAGAACACTGACTCTAAACTACTAAAATCAGCCTATTATGATGATCTTCTAACATCTGCCCCCACGCCAGGCACCTCGGGCACAGAGAGCAGTTCCTGCCCCTGAAGCATGGGTTCGATCAGTGGTTTGGAGCACCAAACTGTCACTTTGGACCCTACAACAACACCTACAGGCCCAACATCCCCGTCTACAACAACTCCCAGATGATAGGAAGGTATGTTTCACACTGAGGTATACCAGCATTGGTCCTAAAGTACCTGTGCCCTGCACATTCTTTTGATCTTCCTGTTCTAGCACACCTGATCAGACTAATCAGCTACGTGGGAAAAAAACAGTGCATTTAGAGAAAACACTAAATCTGACTTTTAACATAGGAGATGGATTAGTTTTATCAAAGGAGGTTGTGTAATGTAATTTGTTGTTGGTTTGCTTAACCAATTGATTCCCCAAATTCCCACAAATACACAATTATTACTGTCAGACTGTAAAACTACACACTGCAGATTCATACTGGATTAAAATCGCCCCACAATTATTACTGTCAGACTGTAAAACTACACACACTGCAGATTCATACTGGATTAAAATCGCTCCACAATTATTACCATCAGACTGTAAAACTACACACTGCAGATTCATACTGGATTAAAATCACTCCACTATTGCTACTGTCAGACTGTTGAAATATACTCATATTGCGAATTCATACTGGATAAAAATCACAGATCTTGTCGATAATGGCTTAAATTATTATACCTCTCTGGGTAAAATTAATCCAGCACTAACAGAGATGCGTCTAATGGCTTCAGTCACATCTGTAAATGTGTTCTGGGGGACAGTAGCCTGTTTTCCCCTGAGTATCTGGGCTGAGTTTGCAGCTACCTGGCTAAATTAATCAGATTTTTTTGTAAATCTGTTTATACCAGCTGCGTTTGGGTCTCCAATTTTCTCTGTTTGTTCTCCCAAAACAGCCATATGTGCATTCGGGGTCATTGGCTCTAGCAAGTGTGATACTTTTGTGCTTAGCAGTGGATTTAATGAGTGTGGCGTACCTGAGCTTGGCCAGACGAGCACACAGACACACACGCACACACACACACACACCCAGGAGACGACAGGTTGCGTTGACGGTGTGTTGGGACACCTGGAACAGCCGGAGCATGCGAACCAACGAAGCAGCAACACGCTTCAGCTCATAACACACTCTGACTCTACAGAGACTTGCAGTGTGTGCATCACTAAATTCACTTCTTAATCACTCTTTGGAACTTCACGCTCCTCAGCAGAAAAAACCCTCTGTAATGTGAAATTTGATGCATTTTAAGATTCTCTGACACTATCTGTGTTTTTATGTTATATGCTGTATTCTTACACTATATACTATATTCTTGTACAATATGTACTAGTTTCTTACACTATACACTATATCCATACACTATACATGTGCGCTTTGTTCTTACGCTATACACTGTATCTCTACACTATAAACTATATTCTTACACTATACACTGTATTGTTATACTATATATTGTGAAACGTATTCTTACACTATACAATACATGCTTATACCATGTATTCTTGCACTATACGCTATGTATTATGCCCTTACACAAATATACTATATACTCACACTATACATTTTAACCTATATTTGTACACTCTATGATCTAGATTCTTGCACAATACACTGTATACTGTATTCTCATACTATACTCTATGTACTATATCCTTACACTATACACTGTATTCTTACACTATACACTGAGCTATTTTCATATACTCTATGATCTAGGTTCTTGCACTATGGACTGTATTCTTACATTATATGCTATGAACTATATTCATACACTCTATGATCTATATTCTTGTACTATACTCTGTACTATATCTTACACTGTATACTATATTCTTACACTATGAACTGCATTCTTACACTATACCCTATAAACTATATTCTTACCCTATACATTATATCCCTACACTGTACACAATAAACTATATTCTTACAGTATACAATATAAACTATATTCTTGCACTATACACTATGAACTATATTCTTGTACTATACATCGATACTACGTCTTAAACTGTATACTATATTCTCATACTATACTCTATGTACTATATCCTTACACTATACACTAGATTCTTACACTATGAACTGCATTCTTACATTGTACCCTATAAACTATATTCTTACCCTATACGTTATATCCCTACACTGTACACAATAAACTGTATTCTTACAGTATACAATATAAACTATATTCTTGCACTATACACTATGTACTGTATCCTTACACTGTACACTTTATTGTTATACTATGCTATGTACTACATCCTTACAGTATACACTATTTTGACACTATACACTATCTATATTTTTACACTATGTACTACGCTGCGCACTGTACACTATATTCTTACACTATACACTGTGTTCATACACTATACACTACACTCCCTCTGATGGCTTCTCCTTTCTGCTATTTGTGACAGCCTGTGGTCACTGAATGCAAACAGTGTATAACATTCCGCATTTTTCGGCGGTTGACAGTGCACTACACACCCTTTCTCTGGAGATCAATTAAAGTCTAGAACTAACTTGTGTATTTTTGCAGATATTATGAGGAGTTTGAAATCAATGAGAAAACAGGGGAATCAAATCTCACACAAATTTATTTGGAGGTGAGTTTCATTAATGACTGAATGTTTATCACTGTCTAATTTAGGACAAAACTATAGCATTAAATTTAGGATTAAAAGTTTACACGTACACCTAGTCATAGAAAGGGTTTCACACATTTTAGAATAATAGTTCAGACATAAAAACAATGAAAACTAAAAACTATGAAATTTCACAAAATTTTCCACTCAATGGACAGTAATGTTACAATATCATGATATTTAAACTAATAAAAATAATCGAAAATTAATTGTGTATTTAACAATATCATAAGTAGAATTAAAAAGAATGCATAATTGGAGTCTTGGCTGGTTATGGCTAATTTTGGACTCCCACCTCTAATTTGGGAGGCTTTTCTAACAGGCTTGAAGAAGCTCCTCATGAGCTGAGAACCTGCTGGGGTGGGGTTGGTGGAATGGCATTAAAAAATGACCTTTACATTTTTGTTCAGGAAAAAATGTATAAATTTGACCTCACAGTGTCATTTTTAATTGGTTTTCTAGTATTACTAGTATTTTGTTGCTGTCCAAAAGGAAATAAGTATCTCCAAAATATCAACTTTACAGGAGAAGGCAAAAACACTCTTACCTTTCAAAGTAAGTCAATGTAAAGAGATTTTATTTCAGTTGATTTTAGAGCATTTCTGTTGGTCCATTCATCATGAAATTTTCACACAATGTAAAGGACAGCTGATGTGTTGAAATGATGTAAGCATAAATCTTTAGACCAAAATATCTTTAAGACTATAAAAAGTGCATTTGATCAAGTGTCCACACTTTTGGCTGGTATTGTATGTGCAGTGAGGCTCTTGGAAGACTTGCCCTGATTGGTTGGCTGCTGCTGACTGAGATTTGAACTCTCTGATGTAACGGCTGTGATCTCCTCTCACATCTGCTTTCAGGAAGGTTTGAACTTCATCCGTCACCAGACCATGGCACGACAGCCCTTCTTCCTGTACTGGGCGGCGGATGCCACACACGCACCCGTCTATGCCTCCAAACGCTTCCTGGGAAAGAGCCAGAGAGGACGGTAAGACCAGGAGCTATTGTGTTTTCCGACAATAGTGGTGAGCAGAATGATAGGGATATCAGTATTTCTCTAATCCTGACAATCATTTCTTTAGAGAAAGGATCCGTGCATATATATTTCAGTATTAATGAGGTGCTGGACAAAGGGAAAAAATTATTGTGAGCAATACAAACTACTTTCCTTCTGTTTACTCCCTCCACTCCTCATTTTCACACGTAGACGCTGTAATGTGAGATTATTCAGTGGTGAGCCATGACTCTCCATTTGGACCATTAACATGAAAACTCAAAAAATGAGAAGAAAACCAATGGCAGTTTCTGCTGGAGCACCTATGGGGTTTCTAATGGTATGTTAGACATTAGTAGCCTGTAAAACACATTCGATATGTCAAACTTGCGTGGGAATGCAGTTCGTATTCATCATCAGTGATGTATCTAGAACTTCCAGAAGGCCTAGAGTTTTTCGTACAAAATTGTTCCCACCCATTGTAAATGAAACACTGGTTGATGCCTCTGTCATTTCTTGATAGTGATGCTAGTAAATCTAAAGTGTTAGGCCTGATTCACACATACTGCTTCTGCCATGTTAGCCTCTCTGTGGTCTGAGGTGGGTGGAGTAAAGTGGCGTATCTATAACAAGACTAACAGGAGGTGAAGGTAAACATAAACAAGGATTCATCTCAGAACTCTATTTTTTCAGCAGGTTTTTCTCTGGTATATGGGGCACTTGCCACTTGCCGACACGGAAAGTCTTGCTTTTCATTTCGATGCCCAGGTTAAGTGGTCAACGCTTTCACACAGGCTGCACATGCGAAGCGGTAGAGTCCCGGATGCTGCACTGAAACAGCGTGGTATTTAGAGAAAAGACCAGGTGCCATGCACAGGTCACGTAGCAAAATGCACTAAAATAAGCCGAGAAAATCAATGAAAATTAAACAGAAAATAGCATATAAACTTAAAAACGCAATTTTTGAAATGGAACTTAATTCATGATGAACATTCTGTGCTGCCAACAGATTATCCGGTTGTTCTACCAGACTTGAAACTTTTGCCTATTCACAAAGTCAGAACTGGTCGAGGATAAACAAATATACTGTGCACTTTTATAAATGATGTTTTTATTGAGCAGAGTGACTGATGTGACCATTTATCCATCTGGAAAAGGAATGTCTGTATAACTTTCTTGCTGCTCCGCTCTGCAGCGTAAACACTGTATGTATGAAAGGCCAGCACGTTTGAGCTGTAGCGCACAGTAGTATGTGTGAATTAGGCCTTAGGCTTGGCTGTATCTACCTAAATACTATGGTGGAGAAAATATTGGACACTTTTGGACAGTTTTCTGTTGGGCATTTCATGATCTTAACCCTGCTGTTTTCAACCAAAACTTAAAAATGAAATAAGACTAGAACTACAATAATTGCTGAGCTTAAATACGACAAGCATGATGATTATGAAATGAAAACAAATTGAAAATGACTAACATGTAATTTTTAATCCACAACAATCATTAGGTGTTCTGTGAAAGCCTAGAAGGCTCCACCCCAGATCATCCACCCCTAATCAGCCAAACTCTGCTGTGTTACCTTAAACACAAGCAGAAGAATGCAAGACCAAAACGTATAGCACATTTACTTTCACAGAGTGTGTGATTTCTTTTGAAATTATATTCATCTGTAGTCTCTAAACTCTGTATGACAGATCTAGGGTCCAAAGTGATCAGTTTTCAGTGCCTGATGTTACTGATCTATCACCTCTGCTCATTTAAAGAGCTCAGATTTCATGGACATTTTAAAATTTTGATTTTCATACTGCCACATGTTTCAAAATGTACCATTACATACTGTCCGTATATGAAAATGAAGCTGAAATATTGGCCTGTTTTGGGTTTATTGTATTGTAACATTAAGAAAACCAGTGCTTTTACATATATCCAACTACTCAGCCTACAGCAGGTTAGCTCCGCCCATTCACACTGAAGTTATAAGGGGTATTTCAGCCTGGACTGCTTGTGAATGAGGTACAATACAGGGCAGCCAGTCAGAACAAAGATTGTTTACATATACCAGTCTTAAAGGCACAGGAACGAAAACAGCCTGTTTAATTCTAGTGGATGAAGAGAAGTTGGAAAATGGTCATGTAGAAATGAATTCTGACTGGTACATAAAATCACACAGATGTCATAAGTGGACATTAGGGAACAATTTCAGTGCATAAAAGATGTAGGAAATGGGCCACTAAAGGTGCAATAGGTAATAGTTTTACTGTCGTACTGTTACAAATAACCTTAACATGTATGTAGAACGTGATGGCATCATCAATGCAAGTGCCCCACATACCTGAGAAAAACCTGTTGAAAAAGTTCCAGGATGGGATCCTTGTTTATGTTTACCTTCACCTCCTGTTAGTCTTGTTAAAGATACGCCACTTTACTCCACCCACCAGGCTAACATGGCATAACACAGTGATAAGATAACTACAGAAGACTATTGTGTGTACTAAGATTTAAGAGTCTGACAGTAATAACTGTGGAGCGATTCTAATCCAGTATGAATCTGCAGTGTGTGTAGTTTTACAGTCTGACAGTAATAATTGTGGAGTGATTTTAATCCAGTATGAATCTGCAGTGTGTAGTTTTACAGTCTGACAGTAATAATTGTGGAGTGATTTTAATCTCGTATGAATCTGCAGTGTGTAGTTTTACAGTCTGACAGTAATAATTGTGGAGTGATTTTAATCCAGTATGAATCTGCAGTGTGTGTAGTTTTACAGTCTGACAGTAATAATTGTGGAGTGATTTTAATCCCAGTATGAATCTGCAGTGTGTGTAGTTTTATAGTCTGACAGTAATAATTGTGGAGTGAATGATCTTCTGTAATTGATTACAGTAATAATAGTCCTGTTTTTACCCACCATGTTAATGAAATAACAAAACCTGCTAATCGACGCAGCCAGGCAACGTGTTGTTATTGTCATTGACTGTGTCCTGTCACGGAAAGCTGACGTGAACATCCAGGCTATGACCTTTCAGTCTGTGCTGTATGTGGAAATTTTCCAAAATGACCCTTTATCTCAGATCAGTCAACCAATCAAATCCCACAATCTCAAAATGCTGCACTGTATTTTTATGGTCATGGCTTATTCTTGAAGGTGACTTCTTTAAGAGATGAGTGAGAAAAAGTGGCCTTCCCACAGATCAGAACCTTCCATAAATCATGCAGATGTAATTTTATACATAACCAAATCAAATGCGGGAGGAGAACCCAGGAAGTAGTTCGTAATTAAGTGAACACCCCTGTTTTCCAATGCAAATTACAGTTTAATTAAATGTTGATTTTTGGCAGCCCTGTGGTTGGGCCGAGGGGAAGGACTGCATGGCTGATGTCGCGCGTGTGTGAGCTCTTAGTATTCCTCACAGTGAGTCAGACCTCGCTAAGCAGACGTTTCTTCAGAATGCCAAATGAGGTTTGTGTTGACAGAGGAGTGGCTCAGGCCCCAGAGATATTTTCTCCAGAAAGAGGGATCATGCTTATAGCGCTTCCAGCTATCTCACACCTCTCTGTGGATCTCTCTATTTTCCTACCAATTCCTGCATCTATTTGGGGAAGTAGCTTCATTACAGTGATGCTTTTGGCACATTATATCATATTAGTTACAGCGCAGTTCAAAGGTTTGGAATCACAGTTTTTGATAATTCAACAAATTTGGTTTTGAATTTACAATCTCTAATAGACTTGCTTATGTGTTTTCTGACACAGTATATATATACACCGATCAGCCATAACACGATGACCACCTCCTTGTTTCTACGCTCATTGTCCATTTTATCAGCTCCACTTACTATATAGGTGCACTTTGTAGTTCTACAGTTACAGACTGTAGTCCATCTGTTTCTCTGCATACTTTGTTAGCCCCTTTTACCCTGTTCTTCAGTGGTCAGGACCCACAGAGTAATTTATATGTATATAAATACAATCAAAAATTGTCATTTTTAATATGAAAATAAAACTTGAACAGGGGTGCATAATTTTAAACAGAGATACAGTTATATGCTTTGAACACTTCTGGTCAAAATAACATGTTTTGTTGGTTTTCTAAGTCAAAGTAAGTATTTTAGTGCACAGTTTTACTTTTTTGCTGATTTTACCAGAAAACACAGACATTTGAAGCTTGTAAAACACATTGTATGTGTCAAATCTGTTTAGACTATGGCTCATGTGCAGCGTCAGTGATGTATCGAGGACTTCCAGAAGGACAAAATTGTTCCCAATGTAAATCAAAACGTTGTCACTTCCTGAACGTGTTCCCAGTTAATCTAATTTTATTTGTGCACAGATTTTACTTATTTACTGAGTTTAACATGTTGGAAAAGAATAAAACATGGGATCAATAATGTGCCATGAAGGATCAGTTTACTTAATTTCTCTAGGAAAATCAACCAAACATGAAATTTGACCAGGGCACTCAAACGTTTGAATGTGATGTTGAAAAGTTTAATAAAAAATTCAGTTTTACCCAATTTTCCTTTTTCTCAAGTGTAGTTGATCGGCAACAAGAATCTACCAAGTAATGAAAGCTTATTCTGCTCCAGTTAGCTTCAGAAAACTGCGTAAATCATCCCACGCTTGCTTGAAATCATGCTGAGTTGGTCAGTATCTCTAATAGGCTTGTTTATGTGGTGTCTGACACTGTATGACACACTGTTATCTATAAACATAGACTAAAATTCATCACATACTTAACTTCAGCACCAAACCTTTTTGATTTGGGATTTTTGGGATGAGGGAAAAGTCAGATTTGCTGAGCTGTTTCTGTAAATGATGGTTGAGCTGACACTGATAGTCTGTGTGGTGCTGTGTTCTGTAGCTATGGCGATGCTGTGATGGAGCTGGACTACAGTGTCGGGCAGATTTTGTCCTGGCTGGTCACACTGGGCATCGATAAAAACACATTTGTGTTCTTTACCTCTGACAACGGCGCTGCATTAACATCTGGACCTCATCAGAGTGAGTAACAGTTCAGACTAAACCCAGAACCAGTGTTTTCCTGCTCTAACACAGCCACTTCAGCTCAGGATGGGCCTGTAAATCAGCTGATCAGTTGAAGCAGCTGTGCTAGAGCAGCCAAAATACCAAAGCACAGGACAGGACAACTCCAGGACCAGAGCGCCAGAGTTGTTTATTAGCCAAGAACATTTCGAGATATATGAGATTTGTTCTGGTTAGTGCAAAACATTTTATTATATATATATATATATATATATATATATATAAAGTGTATAGTAATAATGTCCCATATGTCTAATGTCTATATGTATATTATATATTTATATATATTGCTGTTGTCTGAGGAAAACCTTGTCATTTTTCAGTTTTTGGCATAATTTGAAAATGCGTGTTGCTCTTTACATTGTATGTAAATTTCATGAAGAATGGACTAAAAAAAAATGGCCCAAAATTACTTGGAAAATATATATAATATATATTTTCTAATATATATATATGTATATATATATACACATCCTCCATACGCACATAGCAGTCTAATTTGTATTTGCCATTTTTCTGCATATTTTAGTGCACATTTCAGTTTTTTTGATCATGTGACCATGATCAACTGTAAGTAGTTCAGAAATATGTATCTGGGCAGGAAATGTATTTTGCCAGTACAGACACTACATAACATTATAATCAATACAAAGAAACATGAAAATAATAAACATAACAAAGGTGTCTCGTATTCAGTGAAGTTATGAAAATGTTGGCTAGATCATCACAGGTTTGGTTCCTGTCACCTAACACACATACAGAACAAACACGATGGATTATTTTGATTTATTCTAATATTAGTGTTCTTACTGGTGGTACTAATCTTACTGCTTTCAGTCTCAGATTAGAGTCAGTGATTGGTGGCTGTATCTCTTTCCTAATCTCAGCCATCTCTCCCCGCACTGTGTTAACTGTGTGTTTTGTTTTCCGTGTTCATTCCCAGGTGGCAGTAACGGTCCGTTCCTGTGCGGAAAGGAGACGACTTTCGAAGGAGGAATGAGGGAGCCAGCTATTGCCTGGTGGCCGGGACGAATCCCTGCAGGCACGGTAGGAATCTCCATAGATGGACAGTTTTATTATGCCCCTTGGAACAGTTACAGAGTGATAGTGGTTGAAATCTTCCCTACGAAATGAAACAACCCTCAGATAAAAAGAGCATTACTTCATTAACAGCTACTAGCGCTGCTCTATAGGTGACCCTGCCAGTCTGCAGTGACAGCAGAGGAGGGTAAAGTTCAGCTCCTCACTGCTGGGCTTTAGTTACATTTAGGTCATCATATGACTTCAAAGAGGGGGGCAATTATTTATTATCACCCACCCCTAATTCTTCAGTGATATGAAGCTGAAGTCAGATATTCGCCAGCTTCATATTTTTCCATTCCACCATAAATGGTGCAGCAGTTCTGATGCCTGAAGTGCCATAACTGCTGCATCATTTAAGCTAGCTACTGAGACATCAGCAAACCACTAGTGATTTTTTTATGCTTGTTATGAAGAAAAGGACCATAATACACTAAAATGACATTAAACTAAGATAAAACAATGGTTATCGTATTTTTTTTACAGAGAAAATACTCAAATTTGTGGGTTTCTTGGTCGCTCGCGCAGCCATCTTGCCGGCTTTTCTTTTTTTTTCATAACTCTCTGTTTGGAGCCTCTGAAAATCCTCTGTTCGGAGGGCCATGTAGCCCCAACACTTCGCCCTACCCCTCTATCTCAACAAGAATCAGGACACCGTACCGCTAGACATGAACATGCAAAAAGGAGGAGTAAGGGCTAAGTGGTAGGGCGAGGGGTGAAATGGGATTGGGCCTAACTAGGACACTGTTGTCTCTCTGTGTGTAAAATGTGTGTTGAGCTGCTAGTGAGCAATGAGAAGTGAAAGGGGAGGGCTGAGAACCCCTTGCTGTGGAAACAATTCACAATTCTCTTCACTAAGAGATAAAATGGACAGCACAACTACAACTTCATATCAAAAATCATGTACAAATTCCGCTTTAAAAAGGATTTAACAATAAAAACTTTTCAGTATAACAATATATTTGCTCATTTTTAAGTATCCTGCAGTTTTGCTCATTCGCTCAGTAACTCATACTGTGCTCTAAATCACATCGACAAGTGTTTGTGTCCTTAATGAAGACCTGGATGACGTTTGGGGGGTGTATTTTTACAGAAACAACTTGGGCCATTTGGGTGACTATTGACTTCTAGTGTTTTTCTTCTAGTGCAATTGCAGCCTTGCCACTCTAGTTGTAACTAAAGAAGCAAAACCTGAACTCCAAACGTGCCTCTGCTATTCAAATACATCTTGGCTTAGTTGAAAATTGTATTAATTAAATTCGTTTAAACTGCTTAATCTTAAGGTGATCTGTTAACACTAGGGGCTGTGTATTAAAGTGTCTCCAGGCCTGCGGTGGAGGAATGAATAAAAGAGTTCAGAGCAGTTCTCAGTGCGTCTGGTGAAAGTCAGTAATCCTCTCCTCAGCCTCTTAATTGTTTTTGACTGTTTGAATCAGTGTTAATGGCCTCATCAGGTATTGTAATTCAATCCTGCCTCTCAGAGGATGCTCCGGGAAAGCTCGAGTCTACCTCTCGGACAAGAAAGGAAGATTTTCAAACCACAGGAATTTATCATCTGCATGAATGTGTGTGTGTTTCCTCAAGTTTTGAGGTGCTCCATACCCCCCCGTATCCCCCCGTCTTCTTTTTTTGCGGCTGAGAGGAAGCCTCCCCTTTTCCTGATCCGCTAAAGCCGTGCGTTCTGCAAATGACTTTTAATTGTATTAGGGGCAGCTGTGACACGGGGCTGTGGCGCTGGGGGGATTTTTTTGGAGGAGCTGGAGCTAAGCTGTGCCCCCGGCTCGCTATCTGAGGGGTGTGCGGGGCTGTGATAGCGCAGAGCCCAGGCGAGGCAGAGGGGGATTGGGAGCGTCTTAAGCGGCTAATCTGTTTGTGTGTTTGCTGAGGTTGGATTGAGCTGTAATGAGGGCTCCTGTATCTGAATATGCCAGCCGTGTGGGATAAAGGACAGCGAGGGAGCGGGTGGGGAGGTGGGGGGTTAGGCTGTGCATTGGCTGTGTGTGTATGTCTGTGTGTGTTAGGGCTGCACCATGTATCGTTTGCTAAATGTTATCTATAAGAATGTCTTGTGAATCTGTGACGTGTTTTGATTCATTTATGATTCTTTAGTAAGTGATTCAGTTCATTTAATGAATGAATCACTTGCTAAAAAATTCATTTAATTCGTGTTAAATAATTTTATTTGTTTGGATTCAGTTACTTTGGTATGACTTAGAATTATTATACACTGATTACACTAATGTGAAACTGTGTACTCAGTAGATGCACTGTTTGTGGGGGACTTTTACATTGGAAATTTTTTTTTGAGCTTAATTTATTGAATATTGTTGTAATCAATTCAATATTCAGTATGCAAATGAGCATATTCACTTGATCCAAAAATAAATACATAGTTCAGGTCAAAATAATGCAGGTCAATCATCATTTTAAAGGAATGTTTGGGTGGAAACTCAAGTTTACACAATTTACTTCTTACCCCAGACGTAATATTATATTTCTATTATATTTAACATTATTAGCCAACAGTTTGTTGTCCAAATTTTGTTTCTTTAGGTTAGAGCTGGAGCTATGAGGCTAATGTTGCCAACAAACACCAAACCTCAATAGTCACCCAAATCTCTTCTGTAAATACATCCCCAAAACTTCACTGCATTAAGTGACACATTACATTACTCAGACAAGTCGATATGGTTTAGGACAGTAGAGGTGGGCAATATGACAATATTTTATTTTTATTGTGATAAATTTTGTTTTTTTGTGATAAACAATATACTTTTGTGAGCACATTATGGACGTCATCAGTATTTAAGGAACACTGACCAACATGTTTCATTACAAATAGAACATAATTAGTCCTGAGCAATTGAATTTAGTACAGTACAATATATGAAATGCTAAATAAAAATTATTTTGCCCGAAAAGGTTTTGATAGCAGTTTATGTATCTAGTGTACTAGGTGTGTGTCAAAATATCGTGATCCATATTGTGAAGCATAAATTGTCTTTAATTATAATGATATGATAATTTATGCCATATTGCCCACTGTATGATATAGTATAACTTACTACGAGCTTCAAAAATTAACCCCACCATGCACTATTTTCAACAGTGGGGGTACTGAAATTTGTAACAAAAGATTTGGGTGACTATTGACTTCTACTGTTTGTTAGCAATGTTAGCTTTGTAGCTCCAGCACTAAACTAAAGAAGCAAAATCTACATCTGGAGTACGATCTCAGGACATCATAAGGTTTGTTTGTTTTTTTAAACATTGTTCAATGCTTTTATTTGTCTGTGTTTGTGTGAAGCACTTTGAATTGCCGCTGTAAATGAACTTGCCTTGCCATGCCTTGCCTCGAGTCAGTGGAAGAGTTTCGCTGAACCATTCCTTCAAGAGTTCAACAATGCCAGTGTGCTTTTAATATATTGCTAGGCATATTGCCATATGAAGCAATATTATCGTAATTAGCAATGGCACTGTGTCACTTTTCACCAATACCGATATTGAAATCTTAAGTATCGAACAATACTGATACGTTTTCTTTAAAAACTACCAGTTTTAAACAGCTATCATTAATTGAAGCGCTTCGTTTAAGAAGAATCTTCACTTCGCTTTAGAATATTCATCCATATCGTGCTGCTCTAGTATGTGTGTGGATTTGGAGGGCACAAGCTGGCAGCTGCTGGAGGCTTTGCCCGTGCTGGTGCCAGGTGTCTGGGCACTGACAGGCTGGTGGAGGATGGCGAGGGTAAGCAGGTGTTTTCATGCTGTTAAGGTTTTGCCCAGCAGCTGCTTGGCAGATTTGGCTGGATTTCAGGCTGCCTCCTTGCTGTCATGTGGGACACACTGATACCACCGTTTCTGTTAACATTCATGTCCCACAAACACCCAGCCACTTTATCAGAGACACCTTGCTGCTGTGCAGTTAGAGACTGTAGCCCATCTGTAGCCAGCAGTGTGTGTTAGCCCTTCATCAATGGTCAGTTTCTGATCACAGAACCGCTCTTGGCTGGATGTTTTTGGATGGTGGTCCACTCTCAACCTAGCATGTTTAAAAACCCCAGCAACAACGCGTGTCTGATACACTCGTGCCAGCACCACACACACTGCAATGTCTGTGCCAGCTTTCCCCAGAGGTCCACTGATGGCACCTGTGTTTTTTTTTTGTTTTTTTTTTACTAAAAACAGTCATAATTCATTTTTATCACCATCATCCATTTATTAGCTGCACTGCATTGAGCCTCATTTAAAAATCTGGGCTGAAACACTGAATGGGCGGGGCTAAACTTCTATAGGTCAATAGGCGATCCTACACAATATAGCCAAAAGTATAAGAACACACATCCTAATTATTAAATTTGGGTGTTTCAGCCACACCCATTGCTAGCAGGTGTATAAAATCAAGCACATAGCCATGTGATGTGCACAGACAAACATTGACCATGGATGCCACCTTTGCCACATGAATGCCAGTTTGTAAAATTTCAGCCTTGCTAGGTCTGCCCCGGTCAACTGTAAGTGCTGTTGTTGTGAAATGGAAGCAAGGCTGAAGTGCACACCGTGTAAAAAATACTCACTACAGAGTTCCAGACTGCTTGTAGCAACATCAGCACGAGAACTGTATGTTAAAGACTTCATGAAATGGGTTTCTGTGGATAAGAAGCTGCACACAAGCCTAAGATCACTATGTGCAATGCCAAGCGTTGGCTGGAGTGGTGTAAAGCACAGTGTTACTGGAGCAGTGGAAATGAGTTCTCTCGAGTGATGAATGATGCTTCACTCTCTGGCAGTCTGATGAACTTGTGTAGGTTTGGCAGATGCCAGGAGAATGCTACCTACCGCGGGGGTCGGCAACCCAAATTTTAAGAAGAGCCATTGTGTTCTTTCTACAAAAATCAAACCACCTTGGGAGCCACAACATTTTGTGTCCATTTTACCATCTTGGCTGTAAATATGTCTCAGCATGTGCTGATGTGCTGGTATAGACCAAAAAAATATAAACAAAAACGCAGACTTACTTTGCTCTGCTTTAAGCTTTAGTTCAGCTATAGCTGCTTTTTCACGTCTCCAGCAGGAAACTTTTCCGCAAAAGTGGAACAGTTTCTTTTAAAATGTCTCAACTTTTTATTTATTTCATTCGCCAGCTTCTTGTTTGAATTTTCACGTTCCACCTTAAATGGTGCCTGAGGCTCCAGCATGTAAACACTGCAACATTTAAGGTGGAACGGAAAAATTTGAACGAGAAGCTGGCAAACAAGAAGTGTAGCCTTTTAGTGTTTGACAGTTGCTGGTTGCAGATTAAACGTATCAGGAAATCAGCTGAGTGCTTATGAAGTCCATTAAATCCATTAGTCTCCAGATTATCGTTGTCTTAAATCTCTCTTTGCCTTTTCGTTAGCTACTAGCTAGGTGAGACTGCTGTCTGCGTTGCTATGGTGACCAGCAGTTTTCACGCCAACCTTCAGGGTTAAAGGGTGAATTAGCAGTTCTACATTAACTCCAGCATAAAACTGTGTTGAACGATCAGCAGAGCTTTATTTTACTGCAAAGAGGATTATTTTATTTTTTACCTAAAAGTCTGATTCTGCTGTGAAGCCGCAACAGGGCGGTAAAAAAGCCACCTGTGGCTCCGACCCCTGACCTACTGGAATGCATAGTGCCAACAGTAAAGTTTGGTAGAGGAGGGATAATGATTCAGAGCTTTTTTCCAGTGGCCTGCACAGAGCCCTGACCTTAACCCTACTGAACATCTTTGGGATGAACTGGAACATCGATTGTGAGCCAAACCTACTCCTCCAACATCAGTGCCTGACCTCACAAATGCTCTGAAAAAGCCTTTCCAGAATAGATGTAAGGAGTGGGCAACTCCATATTAATGACCATGATTTTGGATTCTGATGTCCAACAAGCTCATGTAGCTGTGATGTATGTGTCCACATACTTTTGGCCATATAGTGTATGTAAATATATAGATTTTTTTTTGTGACATCACAAAACCAATGACCTAAAGAGAATTCACTCGAACAGAATCACAGTAGCTGGGCGTCTGAGTGGCACCAGCAGGCCCAGTTGGCTGGAGATGTGTGCTGGAATGGGCTGGCAGTAAACAGCAGTGAGAGAGGCATTCCTACAGATACACACAGAGGAGGGGGGCGTGAGCCGTCACCCCCTAAAGCTGCCAGCCTCATCTCTTGTGTTGTGTTTATCAGCTGAAGGCACAGGGCTGGAGTGCATTAGACAGGGATAGCAGTCTGTCTCCTCAGATAACTACCACCAGCATTTAACACACACAGCACAGCGTGGCCGGAAAAAAAACAGTGAAAAAAGGGATAAAGAAATGAAGAGAGGCTGGAATAAAAGGGTGGTGGGGGGAGGATGGGAATGGAAGTGAATGGAAGATAAAGAAATGTGCCTTTTCAAATATTCAAACTTCTTTTTTTTTCTTTCAGTCCAGTGTGTGTGTTTTTTTGTTTTTTTTTTCGCGTAAAGCTGAATAAGAGCTTATGGAAGCCTCTTCCTGCCAGATAGAGGAGAAAAAAACATCTGTTTTTTTTTCCTCCTCCTCCTCAGAATATTGACTTAGTATCTCAAAATAATGACTTTTTATTTGACTTAGCATGTCAAATAATGACTAAGCATTTATTTGAAATTGTTTAAACTTTTGTATATGGTGTCAAAATAGTGAGTTATTAAGGACTCACTACTCCTTGGAACTGGGGTAGTGTTTGAAATCTTCCCCTATGAAATGGGACCCTCAAATAAAAAGAGCATTCCTTCATTAACAGCTACTAGCGCTGCTCTGTAGGCGACCCTGCCAGTCTGCAGTGACAGCAGAGGAGGGTAAAGTTCAGCTCCTCACTGCTGGACTTTAGTTACATTTAGGGCATCATATGACTTCAAAGAGGGGGGCAATAATTTATTATCACCCACCCCTAATTCTTCAGTGATATGAAGCTGAAGTCAGATATTCACCAGCTTCTTGTTTGAATTTTCCTGTTGCGCCTTAAATGGTGCAGCACTTACATTCTGGTGCTTCAGGCGTCAGAAGTGCTGGACTATTTAAGATGGAACAGGAAATTTAGCCAGCTACTGAGACATCAGCAAACCACTAGGGATTTTCTATGCTTATGAAGAAAAGGACCATAATACACTAAAATTACATTAAACTAAGATAATACAGTGATTATTGTAATTTTCAACAGAGAAAACTCACATTTGTGGGTTTCTTTGGTCTCTTGTTCAGCCAGCTTGCCGATTTTTCTTTTTGCTCTGTTTGGAGTCTCTGAAAAACCTCAGTTTGGAGGGTCATGTAGCCCTAACACTTCGCCCTACCCCTCTATCTCAACAAGAATCAGGACACCCCACTTCTAGACATTAACGCGCAGAGTGGAGAGGTAGGGCTAAATGGTAGGGGTGAGGGGTGAAATGGGATTGGGCCTAAATTTCAAGAATGTAAGCCATTTTTCCAACCTAGTGAGTCAATATTCAAGAAAAATCATTATTTTGAGTTTCTAAGTCAATATTTTGAACAGAGGAGATGGAGGAAAAATGTCTCCCCTGCCTGGAGCGAAAGGGTTTCCATATTATGGAAAATCACCGGTGACCTATTACGAGACTCTAGTCATTATTTCAGCATAGCAAGTCAATATTTGAGAAACTAAGTCGCTATTTTGAGTGAATATTTTAACGCACTGCCAGAAACAGAAGGAGAAAAAAACCAAAGAAATGAAGAGAGGCTGGAATAAAAGGGGGAGTGGGAATGGAAGTGAATGTGAGATAAAGAAATGTGCCTGTTAAAATATTCAGACTTCCGTTTTTTCTTTTCTTTTCTTTCAGTCTGATTCTTTTAGTCTGTGATGCACAGAGTTGGCTAAGAGCTGCTGGAGGTAGCGGCTAGTCAACTTTATTAATTGTCTTCTTTGATTTCTCCTTTTCCTATCTTTGTAAGACTGTGTGTGTGTGTGTGTGTGTGTGTGTGTATGTGTGTGTGTGTGTGTAGATAATGGAATGTGCCAGGCCCTCCCTCACTGAGGAGGAGGAGGAGGAGAATCCAGGGAGGCTGATGCAGGCTCTGTATGTGTGTGTGTGTGTGTGTGTGTGTAGCGCAGCCAGCTGCTCGGGGCTGATAGCGTTATCTGATTGTGAGCGTGCCGTCTCCCTCAAAGGGCCGCTCAGGAGAGAATGGAATGGAAGATCAAGGATGACAGCGAAAAAATGGCATTTTATCGGAAAATAGTTCAAAGTTTATAAATAAAATAAAGCTCTTTTTTGCGCCGGGACTGGGCGAGAGAGATAAAACAGCAGCCCTGTCCCATCTCTCCTTTTTTCTCTTTCCTTCTCTCCCACTCTCTCTCTCTCTCTCTCTCGCCCTCGCCCTCTCTCCTCTCTCCTCGTTTGCAGTGCGTGTGTATATTAGGGAGAGGCCGAGCGGCCGGCCTGCGCGCTGCTGTGCCGCTGCTGTGCTGTGGGTGTGATGTAGGGGAGGATGTACTGTATCACAGTCCGTGTGATCATGAGTCACTGCGCTCGTCCTGCTCTGATCACTCTATAGAACAGCCTTTAGGGTCTAAACCACACCTGCCCAAAGTGGGGTCCGCAGGCTCAAGTTACCCACCAGAAAGTTACCCTAGCCCAGCCCCCTACTCCAATGAGAGAACAATAACATATTAATATTTATAACATATAAATAGTAATATTTTATACAGTATATAACTGACTAAATTTGTGTGTATTAAATTGTGTTGTATTGTTTATTTTCAAAATGCAGATAAATTTAATAATATTTTTAAAAACTCAATTTGAAAACTACCCACTTTCTTTCTTTATTGCTTTTTTTTGTTCGCAAACATTTCACTTTTCAAAATTTCAAAATTTTAGCCTGCAAATACAAATTCAACTCTATCCATATGTCTCTCTCTCTCTCTCTCTCTTTCTTTCTTTTTCCTTCTTTTTATTCTTCTCTTCTTGTTCTCTCTTTTTCTCCCCCCTTTTTCTTATCTTCTCTTTCTCTCTTTACTTTTCTTTCGCCATCTCTCCTCTGTCTTTCCTTCTTTCTCTTCATTTTTTCTCTCTCCCTCATTTTTCTTTGTCTATTTTTCTTTCTCTTTCCTTCCCTCTCCCTTGTTTCTGTCTTCTCCTCTTTCTCTCTTATTTCATTCACTCTCTCTCTTTCTCTCTCTCCCTTTGCCTTTTTGTCTTTCTGTCTCTATCTCTCTCTCTGTCTTTCTTTCTTTACCTTTCTCTCCCCTTTTCTCTTTCTTGTCCTCTCGTTTCTCTCTCTCTCTCTCTCTCTCTCTCTCCTCTCTCTCTCTCTCTCTCTCTCTCTCCTCTCTCTCTCTCTCTCCCTCTCTCTCTCTCTCTCTCTCTCTCTGTTCTCTAGGTCAGTTCTCAGGTGGGTACTGTGATGGATCTCTTCACCACCAGTCTCGCTCTGGCTGGTCTCGTTGCCCCTGACGATCGGGTCATTGACGGCCTGGACCTGAGACCGACCCTGTTCAACAGCACGCTGACAGACAGGTGAGAACACCCCCCCAACTAATCCCCCCACCACACTAACACCCCCACCACTCCCCTACACCGCACACACATGCCTCAGTCTGTAGGATGTACCTCCATAGCAACAGTAGTGACCCTGATGACCACACGGCTGTGTCCCAATAGGAGCTGGATAAATAGAGGTGTAGAGGCCGAGGTGTTGCTGGGGGAGCGAGAGAGAGCGAGAGAGAGAGAGAGCGAGAGAGAGAGCGAGAGAGAGAGAGCGTACAGATGAGTACAGCACACTGATAGAGAGAGAGTAACAGAGAGAGAGTGTTATGGTGGGAGAAAGAGAAAGAGAGTTAGGTCAGGAGAAAGGGAAAGAGGGAGGGGGAGAAGAGAGTGAGAAAGATACTGAGGGAGAAATGGATGGAAAGGGAGAGAGGAAAAGAGTGAAGAGAGTGGGAGAGAGAAAAAGATAAAAGGATAGAGAAAGCAAGTGAGAGAGATGCTGAGGGAGAAAGAGAAAAAGTGAGAGGAAAAGAGACAGAGAGAATGAGAATGAGAGAAGGGAAAGAGGGAGAGAGGAAGAGAGTGAGAAAAGAGAGAGAGAGAAAGAGAGAGAGACATATAGAGTGTAGGCCGTATAGGAGTGAGTTAGTTGATCACTAAGGTCCAGCACACACACCGATCCTGTCACTCTCTACAGGCCCGTCTTCTATTACCGCGGCAACCAGATGATGGCGGTGCGGGTTGGAATCTACAAGGCTCACTACTGGACATGGAGCAACTCATGGGAGGAGTTTAAGAAGGTCGGAGTTAATTAACCTTTTCTGGGCGTGTGTCTCTCTCTCTCTCTCTCTCTCTCTCTCTCTGTCAATTTCAAATAGCTTGATTGGCATGAATTGAATTGCAGTTAAGATCACCTGTTATTAATATGACTGCATCTCTCTCTCACTCTTTATGCCCTGATTTTATTACTCACTCTCTCTCCCCCCCGTGTCTCTTCTCTCTTACTCACTCACTCACTCACTCTGTCTCCTGTCTCTCTCTCTCTCTCTCTGTCTGTCTGCCTGTCTGTCTGTCTGTCTGTCTCTTCTCTTCAGAAACGAAGCATATAAATCTCCAAAATATTTGTGAACTATTATTTTTAAACATTGCATCACGATGCCTTATCGGAGAGCCTCGAAGGTCAGGCGCTAATGAATATTAATGAGCGGGGCACACTTCAGCGAACACGCATCATCTGTCAGCCGACTGCGCCGCCGCCATCCTTCACTCTGCAGCTCTCCCACAGCTCTCCTCAGAGAGAGAGGGGGATTAAAAGAAAGAAAGAGAGGTAGAATGGGGGGAGAGAGAGAGAGAAGGAAAATGAGAGAGAGAGAGAGAGAGAGAGAGAGATAAAGATTGGGAGAGAGGTAGAAAGAGAGAGCGAAAGAAAAAAACAAAGAGAAATACACAGAGAGGTAGAGTGAGGTAGAAAGAAAAATAAGAGAGATAGAAACTAAGAGAGAGAAAGAGGGAAGCAGACAGTGCTATAGAGAGAGGAAAAGAGACAAATTGGAAGTGAGAGATAAAAAGAGTGAGTGGTGCAAAGAGAAAAAGAGAGAAAGGTGGAGAGAGTGAGGTAGAAAGAGAAAATGAGAGAAAAGAAAGAGAAAACGGACAGAGACAGAAGTAGAGAGTGCAATAGAGAAGGGGAAGAGAGAAAAACAAAGTGAAGGAGTGAGTGGTATAAAGAGAAAGAGAGAGAGAGGTAGAAAGAAAAAAGGAGAGAGAAAGATGGACAGAGAGGGAAATAGAGATAAAGCGGAAGACAGAGAGAGAGGGGTAGAATCAGAGAGAGATAGAAAGAGGGAAGAATAAAAAGAAGGATTTAGAGGTCGAGAGAAGGAAAGAGAGAAACAGAAAGAAAGGTGGAAAGCGACAAACATGCAAATCACAGCTTCTAAGGAAGAAGAGGAATGTACAGTCGTGTGCAAAAGTTTGGGCGCCCTGGTCAAGTGAACTTAAATATGACATTTTCCTGCAGATTTTTATGCACATTTCTGTTTATTTGTTTAACATATTGGGGAGAAACCTTTGCCACAACTTTTGCACAGGCCAAATTTTATGTTTATCGTTTTTCCTATAAGTTAAATTCAGCAGATAAGTGTGCTCTCTGTAGAGGATGTGTAACTTATTCTCACTTAGAAAGTCAACAAAACGTCATTTGCCCAGGGGCGCCCAAACTTTTGCACGCCACTGTACGTGTCTCTTCATCCGTAGAAGCCATGCTCTGCGTGTCCACTCCTCAAACAGGCCTGGCCCTGGGCTTTTCTCCTCCGAGTTTGTTTTATGGCCCATCGGCCGCTTAAATTGCTCTCTCCTGGAGGGCCTGAATCAATAGCCACCTCCTTTATCAGCTCATGTGAACTGGAGTGGAACTTCACAAATAATGGCGGCTGATTGCCTGTGAGCTGTCTATCGATTGGCTGAGCAGGCCGAGGATGGTTGGAGAGGACAGGAGAGGAGAGGAGATGAGAGGAGAGGGCTTGGGTCGTTCCACCTCACAGTTAATGTGTTTTTTAGGGGGGTCTTCGCCAGGGGCCTCAGAGATGGCCACGCGCTCCGACCTTTGAGCCCTGACCTGCTCCAACTTGCTCAACGGTGAGGTAATCCAGAGATCCAGCGGTGCTGGATGATTTTCGGACGACACGAGGATAAAGACAAACTGCATTAGGCCTTTTTTTTTCCTGAGCGCCTCTTTAAAACAGCCGTTTTTTTCCCTCCCGGTTTGTTTGCTCTTAAACTTGGTTGAAATGATGGCTTAATAGTATCGGTCACGCAGGCGCCTTCCTCTCCAAACCCACGAGGGTCAGTGAAGTGCGAAATGAGAAATTTCACAGAATAAGTGCTTTTGCATCCGATGCTCCCTTTCTGACAGAAGTCGAAGGAGGGAAAAAAATGAAATATGAAATACTGCGGCTCGTGCTGCAGCCGCTATTAGACGGGCGGCTGGATTATGTATATGTCGCTTCTTTTATGAATTTCAGTTCACAAGCTATTAATGATGGGCTTTGATTGGCAGCTTGTTGCTGGGCAAGCTCACGTTTAGCGGCCTGTTACGGATTTGCCCTCTAACGTAGCTTTTTACCCGAAGCACTTAACGCAATTTTGCGACGTGCTGTTGAAATATAAAAAGAATTGACATTTAAAGAACTTATTTAGCTACTGGCTTGGTATTTCAGAAAGGTTTTGGTGCGTAAGATGCTCTGTGAGTCATTTTCTTAAGAGGCGTCCTTGAAGAGAAACGTTCCTTTCTCCTAGTGTAACACTGTAATAACCTGTTCTTTTTTTTAAAGCTGTGTCTTTGCTGTATTACTGAGGGGCCCATATTTTACAGTATTCTCTTATTTTTTCCCTAAAAGTACACTTACAATGTTTGAGTGGTTCTGTTTTACATGACCTCTGTTTTCCCTTAGAACAGCCTTAAACAGGCTGTTTTTCTTACTGTGCCTTTCAAACTGTATGTAAATATATAAATTAACTCTATTCTTATAGGCTCCCCTGTATTGCCCTGTATTGAGCTTCATTCAAAAGGCAGTCCTGCTTCAGCCGGATATATATATAATATATATATATATATATATATATATATATTATATATATATATATTATATATATACAGTCTTATGCAAAAGTTTGGGCACCTCTTCCACTGGGCAAATTCCATGTTTTGTTGATTTTCTGAGTGTAAATAAATGAACACACTTCTGCACATTTTAATACACAATTATTGTATATATGCTAAATGTAACATATCGGAGAAAAGATAAAACATAAAATGTGGTCTGTGCAGAAATTATGGCACATTTTCTATCTTATGTTTTGTTTTTTTCCAATATTTTTAGCAACAAATAAAAATGGTCCACTAAAATTTGCAGAAAATTTGAAAAATGTGTTCTCTGTAGAGGGTGTGGTAACTTACACTATATAGACAAAAGTATTGCAACGCACCTCCAGATTACTTAGTTCAGGTGTTTTGGCCACACCCACTGCTGACAGGTGGATAAAATTAAGCACATAGCCTTGCAGTCTCGATAGTCAAGCACTGGCAGTAGAATGGATTGTACTGATGAGCTCATTGAGTGGTGTAAAGCACGTCACCACTGGACTCTGGAGCAGAGTGAATGTATTCTCTGGAGTGACGAATCACACTTCTCTATCTGCCAGTCTGATAGACGAGTCTGGGTTTGGTGAATGCCAGGAGAACGTTACCTCACTGACTGCACTGTGCCAGCTGTAAAGTTTGGTGGAGGAGGGATGATGATATGGGGTTGTTTTTCAGGGGTTGGTCTAGAACCCTCAGTTCCAGTGAAAGGAAATCTTAATGCTTCAGCACCAAGACATTTTGGACAATTGTCTGCTTCCAACTTCGTGTGAACAGTTTGGGGAAGAACCTTTCCATTCCAGCATGACTGAGCCCCAGTGCACAAAGCAAGGTCCATAAAGGCCTGACTGGGTGAGTTTGGTGTGGAAGAACTCAACTGGCCCACACAGAGCCCTGACCTCAACCACATCAAACACCTTTAGGATGAACTAGAACGAAGATTGTGAGCCAGACCCTCTCGTCCAACATCAGTGTCTGACCTCACAAATGCTCTTCTGGATGAACTGGCCAAAATTCCCACAATCACTCTCCAACATCTTGTAGAAAGCTTCCCAGAAGAGTGGAAGCTGTTGTAGCTACAAAGGGGGACCAACTCCATTTTAATGCCTATATATTTAGAATGGGAGTCATAAAAGCTCCTGTAGGTGAAATGTGTAGGTGTCGCAATACTTTTGTCCACATAGTGTATTTTGTCGTAGAAAAGCATCAAAACATTCATTTGATCGGGCGATAAATTACATTTCTGTATGAATATAAATGTGATAATTTGTTAACATCACAAAAACAGTGAATTGAAAACAGGCTGTTTTTGCAGCTAAATTTCCATATATGAACGATACAGACTGGAGAGTGAAGAGCATGTTTTACTGTTTTATTTCAAAAAAGAAAAAAATTGAGAAAAATTCCCTTTAATAGGCAGAACTGCAGCTTCTCTTGCTTGGATTCATTCTGGTGAGATTTTGGTTGTTTCATGCCTCCAAGATGAGAGAGAGAAAGAGAGAGAGAGAGAGAGAAAGAGAGAGAGACAGAGAGAGAGAGGGAGAGAGAGAGAGAGAGAGAGAGTGTCAGGCCAGATCGCAGGGGACTGAACTACTGCTCTGAACTGTGTGTGTATGTGAGTCTCTCCGGCCCCCTGCCATGCGCGGGCCCAGTGGTTGGTCCCCTGGTGGTCTTGTACAGCCTCTGATTGCACACACACACATGCTTGTGTGGAGAGAACATCAAAATATTAAGAGAACACTCTTCTGACCTCCCTCTGGGACACAAGCCCTGCAGCGTTACCAGCAGGTAGAATCCACAACAGACGCCACAGACATGAGTCATACCGAAACATACACACATACACAAAGGCAGACTTGCTTTTATTGTTTTTATACGACGTCAGGACGTGGGGTCATACAAACATGTCCCATATGTACAGCTGTGTGCAAAAGTTTGAATACCCGTAGTCCAGGGGTCGGCAACATGTGGTTCTTTTACTGTCCTGTTGTGGCTCCACAGCAGAATTAGATTTGTAGGTAAAAATAAAATAATCCTCCTTTACAGTAAAATAAAGCTCTGCTGGTCGTTCAACACAGTTAAACTCTGGGAGTTAATGTAGAACTGCTAATTCACCCTTTAACCCTGAAGGTTGGTGCACAGACTGCTGGTCACCATAGCAACACAGACAACCTGGCCTAGCTAGTAGCTAACGAAAAGGCAAAGAGTTTTAAGATGAATGTTGATCATTTAGAGATGAATGGACTAATGATGGATAATCACTCCAGCTGGTTTCCTGATACGTTTATCCTGCAATGAGAAACTCGTTGTCAGCTTCTCGTTGGAATTGTCCCGTTCCACCTTAAATGGTGCAGCAGATACTTTCTAGTGCTATTTAAGGTGGAGCGGGAAAATTCAAACAAAAAGCTGGTGAATGAGACGCTGACTTAAACCTCATAAAGAGTCGAACGTTGAGAGAATTTAACAAAAAACTGTTCCACTTTTGAGGAAAGGTTTCCTGCCAGAGATGTGAGAAAAGCGGCTAGAGCTGAGCTAAAGCTTAAAGCAGAGCAAAGTAGGTTTGCGTTTTCATTAATATTATATTTTTTAGTCTATACTAGAACATCAGCACATACTGAGACATATTTACAGCCAATGTGGTAAAATGGATATAAAATGTTGTGGCTCCCAAGGTGGTTTGATATTTGTTGAAAGGACAGAATGGCTCTTCTTGACATTTGTGTTGTCGACCTCTGGGCTGGTCAAATGACATTGACTTTGAAGTGAAAATAAGTGAACACATCCTCTACAGAGACGCACTTAAATATATTGTTTTTCTGCAAATTTTAGTGCAGAACAGTTTAACATATTGGACAATAATAAAACAATAAGAGTAAGTAATTATATGCAATAAGAATTGTCCAACCTTAAAGGGGAATTACACTATTTTTTCAGAAATAATGTATGCATAATTAAATAGTTAAGAAGAGAACAAAGTCATTTAGAGTGGTTTGGTATAAAATCCTCCGTTCTAGAGAAACTTACAGAAACAGAATTGTTCACAGTGGTGGTGATAGGAACCAGACGTCCACCTCTAAAAGCTCCTTCGCAGAAAGTTACTATATGAAATGGTTATGAATTCACTGCCTGATGTCTGGGACATTGTTTTATGATAGTTATGAGAGAATATTTTGTCCCAGAATGTATTTTTGAAACACTTTCATGGCAGAGAAGTTCATGCCAGGTGTTGTAAGGCAAAATTTGTCCCCAAAGAAAACATTTTTTTCTTTTTTTCTTCCTTTCTTTCTTTTCAGATTTACCACATATAAAAACTCAGAAGACACGTGTAGGTTCACTGGTTGTTTTGGAGAGTAAACAAAATGGCTATATTGCCGCTGCAGACATCACAGTACGTGAAGAAACCAGGCTCAGTACGTTTCAAAGAATTATTTTTATATTAAAAAACACAGAAAGACTTTGTTTACATCTCTACAATTGAATTATGCAGATTCTATTTGAAAAATCTGTCCCCTTTAATCTCATAACCAGCACATTGTAATACACAATTAGTGTTTATATGCTGAATTTAACATATCGGAGAAAAAATAAAACATAAAATGTGGCCTGTGCAGAATTTTTGACACGTTTAATGTTATGTTTTGTTTTGTTTTTCCAATGTGTTTAGCAACAAATAGAAATTGTGCACTAAAAATTGCAGAAAAGTTTGTGTGTTCTCTGTAGAGGATGCATTGACTTACTTTAACTTAGAAAATCATCAAAACATTTATTTGACCAGGTCATGACCAAACGTTAATGTATGACTATAAATGTGATGGTTTTTGTGACATCACAAAAACAGTGAATTCAAAACAGACTGTGTTTGCAACTAAATTTCCATACATGGATTATGGGAAGTGAAGGGTACGGTTTGGAAGTTTACCCAATGATTACATGCTACATCAAACTGGTTTATTTCAAAGAAGATAAAATTTGAGAAAAATTCAGGCCCTTTAATAGGCAGAACTGAAGATTCTCCTGCTTGGATTCATTCTTGGATTCAGTTTTCAGATTTCAATTTTCAAATATGAGCCATAAAATCAGGAGCTGTTTGTTGTTCCTGACTTTTATGTCGGGTCTGCTTTTCTCTGGTTTCCCACTCAGACACGCTCCTCCTCACTCGGCCTGTCCGCCGGCCTGTATGTGGTGATGTGGATGTTGATCCTGCTTGTAGACACAGAGTTATTGATGTGTCGCTGCATGTCCCCATCCATCACAGCTCTTAAGTGAATTCTCTCCTGAAGGGCACTTCAACATTGTCAGATTGAGGACGTGTAGAGCTCAGTGTTTTCATCCTGTTCTCGCACACAGGGCATAAACTTCTGTCCTGGCCAGGAGGTGGCTGGGGTCACCACACACACCCAGCAGGAACACACCATGCAGCCGCTCATCTTCCACCTGGGGCGGGACCCTGGAGAGAAATACCCAATCAGGTAAGACTCCGATGTTGATATAGATGTAGAGCATTATAGAGTGCTTATTAAAGGAACCAATAGAAGCCGTATCGCCCCCTGAGCTTTCTGTCTCTCATACTGACCACATGGATCACTTAAAAATTGTGAAGTATTACAGAGCTCTTTTTAAATGAAATGATAATGAAGGCTGTATCGCTCCCTATGCTTTCTGTAACATATTGCGGTCTGACGGTTTGACTGTTTGGATCACCAAAACATTATATAGCACATTTTAAAGGAATAGTAAAATAAATCTAAGCCCAGATGTAGTTGAACAGACAAGGTGTCTAAATTTTTCTTTTATAGTTTAAACTCAAACTACTAGGGTAACTTTGCTAATAAACACTAGAACTCAATAGTCACCCAAATAGCCCAACTCTGGTAAGGTCTGTTGCAAATAATGATTCTAGATCAGCACTCTGACTCCTGAGGTGGTTTGTGAATCTTAATGGAGACCTGGAAGCAGTTTGAGTGGGTTGAAAAAAGTTTTGGTGATGAGACGATTCGGGCCATTTTGGGTGACTATTGAGTCCTAGTGTTTGTTAGCAATGTTAGCCTCATAGCTTGCATTTTAAACTGAACACGTATCTGCAGTACCAGAAAATTTGTCTCAATTTGATGTTTCGCCAAACTATTACTTTAAATAAAACAGTAAAAGTCATATCGCCCCCTGTGGCTCCTGTAGTGTTTTGCAATCTGCTGGATTGCCTTTGTGGATGAAATAAACATTATAAATCATTATAAAGCGCTTTTTAAATGAACTGATCCGTATCGCCCCCAAATAATGATTCTAGATCAGCACTCTGACTCCTGAGGTGGTTTATGAATCTTAATGGAGACCTGGATGTGTGTTAAGCAGGTTGAAAAATGTTTTGGTGATGTATTTTCATGGAAACGATTTGGGCCAGTTTGGGTGACTGTTGAGTCGTAGTGTTTGTTAGCAATGTTAGCCTCATAGCTCACATTTTAAACTAAAGAAGAAACATGTAGACTCTAAACACGTCTCAGCCAATCAGCTACATCTGTGGTACCTGACAAATTGTGTAAATTTGATGTTTTGCACAACTGTTCCTTTAAATTGAACAGTATAAGCCATATCGCCCCCTATGGCTCCTGTAGTGTTTTGCAATCTGCTGGATTGCCTTTGTGGGTCATATAAAAACTATACGTCATTGTAAAGTGCTCTTTAAATGAACCGATAGAAGCCATATCACCCTCTGTGCTTTCTGTGCAGTCTCTCAGAATGACCACGTGGATCAACTAAAAATTGTTCAGTATTATAGAGCATTTTTAAATTAAATAATAGAGGCCATAATGATCGATATGCTTCCTATAACTATTGCAATCTGACAGTTTGACTGTTTGGATCACAAAAACATTACAGAGCACTTCTTAAAGGAACAGTAAAAAATCTTAGCCCAGATGAAGTTCAGCAGCCAAGATGTCCAAATTTCTCTTTTATGGTGTGGAACTCAAACTACTAGGGTAACTTTACTAATAAACACTAGAACTCAATAGTCACCCAAATAGCCCAAATCTGTAAAGGTCATGCCTAACCCTAACCCTAGATTTCCCGAGGTGGTTTAGTGCTGGAAATGACTCACTGTGAGCTGTAATAATGAAGAAAACCTGTTCAGGATTGATCTTGGATATTTTCTCTGTATAATTGTCACAAATAATGGTTCCAGTTCACTCCTGAGTTGGTTTGTGTATCTTTCTGAAGCTTTTTGTGATTTTTTTTTTTTTTATGGAAACAATTTGGGCCATCTGGGTGCCTATTGAATCCTAGTGTTTGTTAGCAATGTTAGCCTCATAGCTCACGTTTTAAACTAAAGCTCACGTTTTAAACTAAAGAAACCATCTTGGGTACCTGACAAATTGTGTAAATTTGATATTCCGCCAAACTATTGCTTTAAATTGAACAGTATAAACCATATCGCCCTCTATGGCTCCTGTGGTGTTTCGCAATCTGCTTTTGTGGATCATTATAAACATTATAAATCATTATAGAGTGCTTTAAATGAACCGATAGAAGCCATATCGCCCCAAACAATGATTCTAGATCAGCACTCTGACTCCTGAGGTGGTTTGTGAAAAAAGTTTTGTTGATGTATTTTTATGGAGGCGATTCGGGCCATTTTGGGTGACTATTGAGTCCTAGTGTTTGTTAGCAATGTTAGCCTCATAGCTCACGTTTAAACTAAAGAAGCAAAATGTAGACTCTAAACACGTCTCAGCCAATCAGCTACATTAACAGCTAACTATTCCATTAAAGCCATATCGCCCCCTCTGGCTCCTGTGGTGTTTCACAATCTGCTGGTTTGCCTTTGTGGATCACATAAACATTATAAATCACTTTTTAAAAGATATAATAGAAACCACATTGCCTGTGTTTACAATCTGTGGATTGTATGAGCATTATAAAGCATTATAGAGTGCTTTTAAATGAAGTACTTGAGGCCACATTGCTCCCTACACTGTATTGCAGTTGTGCTTTTATTTTTAGGTAAATGACACAATCAACTTTTGCATAATCAGTGTTCTCCACACCTCATCAGATTGGTCCAGTGATTGTTGCAGGCCTACTGCTGTCTGACTCATTCCCTGACCACAGCCTGCTGGTGAGAGGGGAGGAGGAGGTGAGGGGGGGCGCAGGACTGAATCTGTCAGATCGATACTGATTCCGGCGCTGGCCGAGCGCTGCAGATTGATCCGTGCAGTCTGAAGGAGGCTGATTAATCGCCGCTCTTTGTGATTGCAAACAGCACCTTTAAAGATCGCTATCTGCACACGCACCGCCGGCGGATAAAATTGCAAGACAGATTGTTCTGACGGAGATGGAAGGAGATGCTGGTTAATGGACACTCTCGCGGTCATCCAAGCGCGGTCCGGTCAGAGTTAAACGCACTTGAAAATGCAGAGGTCACAGAAAACGGAAATCTGACCAGATAGTCATGAATACGGAAAAGGCTTTGAGATGAAACGGCGCATTAGAAGGCACTGTGTGTTTAAAGCAGCTGTGTGTGATGAACTCTGGCTTTAATGTTGTGGTTCTCTTTGTGGAGACGAGCGCGATTTACCATCAACCTCCAACCCTGATGCTGTCTGCTCACTGACGGAGCTGAGCTGAGCTGCCTCTGTTCGCTTTTTTCAGTGAGATTAGCTCTCTATCCTCAGGCTACTGACATCCCTCTGGGCTCTCTCTCTCTCTCTCTCTCTCTCTCTCACACACACACACACACACACACACTCTCTCTCACTGTCTCTCTCTATTTTTTTCTGTCTGACTTTCTCCTCTCTCTCTCTCGCTCTCTCACACTGTCTCTCTATTTTCTCCTCCTTCTGTCTCTCTCTGCCTCTCCCTCTGTCTGTCTTTCTTTCTCCTCTCTCTTTCTCTCTCTCCCTCTCTTTTTCTCTCTCACTCCAAACTGTTTATCACATACACACAATCTATGTATCAATCATCTTGCCCCTCTCTCTCTCTCTCTCTCTCTTACTCTGTCTCTCCCACTCTGTCTGTCTCTCTCTCTTTCTCTGTCTCATTTGTCTAACCCTCTTTCTCTCTCTCTCTCTCTCTCTCTCTCTCTCTCTCTCTCACACAGACACACACACACACACTCTCTCACTGTCTCTCTCTATTTTCTCCTCCTTCTTTCTGTGTCTCCCTTTATCTGTCTGTCTGTCTTTCTTCTCTCTCTCTCTCTCTCGCTCTCTCACACTGTCTCTCTATTTTCTCCTCCTTCTGTCTCTCTCTGCCTCTCCCTCTGTCTGTCTTTCTCCTCTCTCTCTCTCTCGCTCTCACACTGTCTATTTTCTCCTCCTTCTGTCTCTCTCTACCTCTCTCTCTATCTGTCTTTCTTTCTCCTCTCTCTCTTCCTTTCACTCTCTCGTCCTCTCACTCTCTTTCTCTGTCTCGTTTGTCTCATTCTCTCTTGCTCTCTTTCTCTCTCCCTCTCTCTCAGTCTCTCCCTCTGTCTCTCTCTATTTTCTCCTCCTTCTCTCTCTCTCTGCCTCTCCCTCTGTCTGTCTTTCTTTTTCCTCTCTCTTTCTCTCTCTCCCTCTCTTATTCTCTCTCACTCCAAACTGTTTATCACATACACACAATCTGTGTATCAGTCATCTTGCCTCTCTCTCTCTCTCTCTCTCTCTCTCTCTCTCTCACTCTGTCTCTCCCACTCTCTCTGTCTCTCTTCTCTCTTTCTCTCTCTCTTTCTCTCTCTCTCTGTCTCTCTCTCTAACTCTGTCTCTCCCACTCTCTCTGTCTCTCTTCTCTCTTTCTCTCTATCTTTCTCTCTCTCTCTCTCCTCTCTTACTCTGTCTCTCCCCCTCTCTCTGTCTCTCTTCTCTCTCCCTCTCTACTCCTTCTCCGTCTCATTTGTCTCACTCTCTCTTGCTCTCTCTTTCTCTTTCTCTCTTGTTCTTTCTCTCTCTCCTTCTGTTTCTTTCTCTCTCCCCCACTCTCTGTATCTCTTTTTTCCTCACTCGCTCTCCCAAACTATCATATACACACAATCTATTTATCAATCATCTTGCCTCTCTCTCTCTTACACACTCTCTCTCTCTCTCTCTCTCTCTGTCTCTCTCTCTCTCTCTCTCTCTCTATATATATATATATATATATATATTTCTCTCTCCCTCTCCCTCTTTCTCGTTTACTGTGCCTTTCTTTTTCTATCTCTATTTCTGTTTCTTTCTCTTTTACTCTTGCTCCCTCTATTTCTCTGTTGCTCTCTCTCTCCAGCTTTATCACACACATGCACACACACACAATCTCTTTATTTATCTGTCCTCCTGCCTCCCTCTCTCTTCCTCTGTCTCTCTCTCTCTTTCTCTCTCCATCTCTCTCTTTCTCTCTTACTCTCCCTCTCTATTTTTCTATCTCTATATCTTTCTTTCTCTTTTACTCTTGCTCTTTCTCTCGATTTCTCTTTATCACACACATGCACACACACAATCTCTTTATTTATCTGTCCCCCTGC